GAGTTACCACGCCGGCTCCAGCTAGGGACGAGTGCCAAGAGGCTCTCATCATTTCGACGGGACGGGGCGAGGCGTGTGACAGGCCGCCTGCTGCCACCTAACCCGCGATCTGACCGGTCTGTGACCGGTCACACACTGCGACCGGTCACGGACCGGATATGCGTGCGCCGTGCTGCATTAAATGCGGCGTGGCGCGCTTGTCCATTCCGCAATAAATGTGGTTTGGTGAGCGCCGCTGTGCCCACCTAACCCACACACGTGGCGCCAATACCACAGGGGGTCGGGGCGCCCCAGCCCTCGGGGCCGAAACAGGAGCGGCCCGACCCCTCGGGGAGACAGAGGAGGGGGTGGGCACGTCTCCCTCGGGCCCGACCCCCCGAGGGGGTCAGGCCACGTGGGTGACCGCAGCTGCCCAAGCCTCTAGTCATGATACTCCCGGTCCCATGTCACCGACAGGGAGGAAGGGGAGGAGGCGGACTGGTGGATACCGAGGCTTAGTCTCGGCGTTTTTTAATGAAGGAGAGAAAAAAGGGGAGGGGATACCGAGGAGATAAATTCAGCGCGCGCTCGGCAGTTTATTTTGGTCCCGGTTGGTATAAACAACCAGGACTAAAGATCTATTTTTAGTCTTGGTTGTTTATACCAACCGGGACTAAAGATAATTGAAGCCTGACTCTACCCACCAACTTCTTTGAACCGGGACTAAAAATGATCTTTAGTCCCGGTTTTTATTGCAACCGGGACTATTGTGGAATTTGGTCGACCGATCAAAGATGGTTTCTCTACCAGTGCTACTTATATGGATTGGTTTGAGGCTTTTGAGCCTAGCTTACGAGTAGTAATGAAATAGTGATGTTTCAATCTTTGATGAGATAGAGGGAGGTATTGTATTTTTACTGTAGAATTTGGTAGTGTTTTACTTAGAAGAATTTGGTAGCTCTTGATACCTCTCATAAACCATAAAGTTCGAAGAGAAATCCATCACACTTACAAATGAAGTCACTATGGTCGGTGCCAGTGCATACTGTATTTGCTTCTGCACGTAGGATGCGTCATACGGATGGATCTCATTGCATAGTTGTATCTCCTTAGATATAATTGTTTGAGTTTAATAAAAGCTCATATTATTTAAAAACAAACACGTACCGGATTTGCCATTTTTATTCTTCTTCTTATGGTCACTTCCGACAAAAGATGAAAGTTTTTTTTCCTATATATGTAGGTATTTGCTCTATAGCTAGCTAGCCCCAAGTGCACCTGATCTGATGTGCTGGATTTTTCACATTTTTGATCCTTTTAAAAAACTTATTTCGCAAATAGACCCCTGAAAAAACTTATTCCAGAAATGGTCCTTTTTGGGGCGCCAGAGTGGCTGGCGCCGTCATCCAACGGGACGGCGCCAGCCTCTCTAGCGCCGTCCTCCTGCTACCGTGGCGCACGTGAACCGACGTGGCAGGAGGAGGGCGCCAGCCATGCTGGCGCCGCCCCAGGGAGGAGGGCACCAGCATGGCTGGCGCCGCCGCCTCCATTCCTGTTTCTCTGTATGGAGTTGCAACGGTGTCATTTTTATTTTATTTTTTTGGATGTTTTTTCACACTCAGGATCACGATACAACCAACCACAAAAAAAATTTAAACTCGAACTACCACTTAACTAAGTCTGAAAATATCTAGCATACCACTTAGTCTACTTTGCACCTTCACTAAAATTAGACCATAACTCCTTTAGTAAAACCCTTTGATCAGCATGTTAAACATAATGCACTCTACCACTATATGAAATTACTTAATCTAATTCAAAATATAACCACATAAAATGACATATATAAGTTAAACAGTACATAGAGATGCAATTTTTTTTATTTTTATTTCATTTTTTTGATATTTTTTTCACACTTAGGAGAACATAGGAACCAACCGTATAAAAAATAAACTCAAACGGACAAAATATGTGACATGTAGAATTTTCCAAAACTCTACCGAAACGGACAAAATATGCCATCTATTAAAATAGGCGTAACTTTCTCATACGGACTCGGAATCAGGCAAATAATATATGCACGGACATCTACAGAAAAAGTTACATCCGATTCTCCCCCGCTTTGCCGGGTTCGGAAATATTAAAACCTCCAAATTCCGCTTGCAAGATTGTGTTTTCGAGGAGAGAAGTTTTTCGGTTGAGCTTTGGAAAATTTCACATGCCACATATTTCATCCGTTTGATTTTATTTTTTACGTGGTTGGTTCCTGTGAGTTCCTAAGTGTGAAAAAAATATCAAAAAAAATAAAATAAAAATAAAAAAGTTGCACATCTCTCTCCTCTGCACTAGTTCGGAGAGAGGAGAGGAGAGGAAAAATTCTACATGTCACATATTACGTCCATTTGAGTTCAATTTTTCTATGGTTGGTTCTTGTGTGTGTCCCTAAGCGTGAAAAAAATATCAAACAAATAAAACAAAAATAAAAAATTTCGGGGGGGGGGGGGGGCGCCAGCCACTCTGGCGCACTCCCCCTAGCCACCTCAGCATCGCCCCGCCACGTCGGCGGTGGGACGGCGGCAGCCACTCTGGCGCCCCAAAAAGGACCATTTTTGGGATAAGTTTTTCTAGGGATCTACTTGCGAAATAAGTTTTTCAAAAGGACCAAAATGTGAAAAATCCAGATCTGTTGTGCTCCCCCAGCACCAAGCATCTCTCGCATGCGAGGCACAGTAAAAAAAATAAATCATATATCTCCATCTTTTTACACTCACTGATTCAGTCCACACTTGAGCAGTTGAGCTATAGCTGCTGGCAACGTACATACAACAGTTTATCTTGATCAGCTCATGGCATGCAAAAGAACATGTACACATGCCTGCACTACTGTACTATAGCTAGGACGACATTTGCATATATGCAGAGCTATAGATAGAGCAGCATCAGCTGGCTTGGCTGTGTGTTGTGTCGGTCAATCGATGGCAAATGCCTCCCCTTTTTCTTCTGAATTTTTTGACTCCCCATCGGCTGGTGAACAGCAACACAGATCATCACAGATTCACAGCACAAGGCTGAAAAGAGACTGTGAGTACCAGCAGCAGCAGCTGTACGTACGTACTCCCTCCGTCCTAAAAAAAGACAAACCTGGTTTCCGTGTCCAACGCTTGACCGTCCGTCTTTTTTGAAAAAATTATAAAAAAAATTAAAAAGATAAGTCACGCATAAAATATTAATCATATTTTATCATCTAACAACAATGAAAATACTAATTATAAAAAAAATTCATATAATACGGACAGTCAAACGTTGGCACGGAAAACTAGTGTTTGTCTTTTTTTTTTGGGAGTAGAGAGAAAGGAAAAGAAGGTTGAAAGGAAAGGAAATTGCAATGCATGCAGAATCCAGAAGCAGAGGGCCTTTTGCTTTTCCTTGTCTCCCCCAGCTCGAGCTAACAACAACAAGAAGCTAGCTAGCTACTGACCGATCGACCGGCCTCTCTCTCGATGGATGGATGGATAGAAAATATATATATATCGATCAGTGAATCAGTGATTCAGTAGTGATAGCTATAGTACCCAAATTAATGGACGTGTTATTTTATAATCTAAATGGGAATGCAACCATTTCATTCAGCAGCATGCTTCCAGGCATTTAAATGACGTGATTGTTTTTTTTAAAAAAAACTTTTTATACGTGAATTTCTCAGAAAACGGTGCGATTCAGCTATTAAAATAAAACGAAAAACATCCCTCAACTGAACGAACAAAAAGAACAAGGCATATATAATAAGAAACTCAGTATAGTGCATTTTTTCTCTCTTCACTTTTCTAACAATCAAATATTCAGTAGTTGAGTGTGTTAACATGCATGGAGAAATGCAAAGGTGAAGTCCTGCTGCTTCCTGCAGAAGCAGCAGCAGCATGTAGTCCTGTAGCTCATCACATACATTTACACAGCAAAGCTAAGGGCAACAATGAAAAGGCTTTCCATCCGGTGCATGGCATGGCAATGGCAATGGCATTGCCAACCACAAAAGCGACATACGCATCAATGTCCTCCTGCCGAGCTCTCTTTCGAGTCTGATCAATATCAGCTCATCCCTACCTAAAGGCAAGCATGCAGCTTGCTAGGTCAAGCTGCTTAATAGCTACCCACTGGGGTATATAATTTATATGAACACTATTCAAGTTTAAGCTTTGATGATCACTTAACTTTTTAAGGAAAGTTTATAAAATACCTATTCGATCAAAATATGTACCTAGACGACTTTCAATTATAACATAATTATCTAATAATAATTTAAGGTCAAAATGAGATATATGGCCATGGTCAAAACAATACGCTACTCGTTCAGATAGCTACTCCCTTCGTCCCAAAATATTCTTCAGCAAAACCTAGTATTAGTAGTGCCAAGTCGATATTTTGGGACATAGGGAGTAGACACTTAGCAAATCAGTTAATTAAGCAGACAAATTAAAGCTAACCATAGCAGCTAATGGTGACACTGATAGTGAACCAAGTACTAGTAGCCATCTGTCCCAAATGGCAATGGAAATAATGGGACAGGCGAGTCCTTTTCCAAGTAGCAGTACTACTAGCACTGTAGACTGTAGTAGGAGAGGAGAGGAGGTTTGTAGTGTTGTGCGTAATCTCAAGGACCAGGAATCTCCTATCCTAACCCTCATCCCCATGTGCACTGCACTCTGCACTGCATTCTCTACTCTACTCGATGATCATCATCGATCACCTTGTGTTGGACGGACGAAGAAGAACAAATCCATGCTGCTCTTGCCTGCATGCCTACCTGACACCACCATGCCTCAAAGTTCAGCTGTTGTACTCTAGTACTACACACACCCATGCTATGATTAGATAGAGAAGATACTACACTCCCCATGAACAATACAAAAAGAAACAAAGCCCTAGTACTGATCATATGCTGCAGCATAAAACCTGAATCAGTTAAAATAAGTGAAATGTGCTTTGGCACGTTCAGAAGCATAAGTATAACCTGAATATATATATGTACAAATGCAACAGTAATTTTCATTTTGCTAATTTCAATCACAAAAAGAATCAACATCAAGTACTAGCTTCATCCTCAAAAATTGATTCCTTTTTTTTAAGTACAGAGGGAATATATATATGCATTCTGGCACACAGTCTCGCTCCCAAATTTGCAATATCCAAACAAAATGCAGCATGGTTCTATAGCCTATACGATCAAGCTGGAAATAATTCTGTTTTTTTATTGGGCAGTTCAGTTCATTTGCCTCAAAGTCCCCGAATTCCTCAATCTTCCCGCCGACATTCTCCAATTCGGAGGAAGAAGCAGTTTTCAAATCCGTACGGCATCAAAAACCTTCCCACCATATGCATCCTCCACCCTCGAAATCCACGCACTCAAGAAAAAAAATAATACAAGAATTCACAGCCAAAAAAAAGAGAAAAGGAGACACTATTAATTACTCCTAATCACGAATGCCCAAAAGCAGAGCCGAGCCGCATCAGAAATTCATAATTCATTTCAAATTCAGTTGAATTCAATTCTCCGGCGATCGCCGGCGCCGGCGAGGTTGACGAGCGAGTGAACTGGGCATTGATCGAGTGGTAAATTACTAGTATGCCCCTGTGAGCCAGCGCATGAAGCCGTGGAACGCGTTGCCCTGCTCCTCCACCTCGCGCCGCCGCGCGGCGGGCGCCGCGCCGCCGTCCATGTCCCACCACCACTCCGCCGTGGCGGCCGCCGTCACCGTGCCGGCGTCGTACCGGCTGCTCCACCGCCCGCTGCTCCACCGGCTGCTCCATCTGCTGCTCCACCTGTTGCTCCACCGCTCCTGCGACCTCGCCGAGCTGAACGACGCCGTCGGGGTCACCGACGACGGCTGCCCACGCTCCGCCTGCGCCGCCGGCAGCGGATGCTGGCTTGGCTCGCCGGTTCTTGGCGCAGCGGCGGCGGCGGGTTGCTTGATGACGACCTCGAGCTCCTCCTCGACGAGGTACTCGGAGTTGGGGAGGGTGGGGAGCGGGTAGGCGCGGACGGCGGCGCCCTCGGGCGGCGCGCTGGCGACGGCGGCGGCGGAGTTGGGGTTGGAGCGGCGGCTGCTGACGCTGCCGAGCTCGACGCGGAGGAGGTCCGGGAGGGGCGGGTGCGGGAGCGCGATGGAGGCGCGGCAGAGCGGGCAGGAGGGGTTGGCGCGGAGCCACGGGTCGACGCAGCGGGAGTGGAACGCGTGGCGGCACGCCGGGAGGAGGCGGAGCTCGTCGTCGTCGCGGAACGCGCTCTGGCACACGGCGCAGTCGCGCGACGACTTGGGGAGCGCCGCCAGCGACGACGCCAGCGTGAACAGCGGCAGCCGCGAGATGAGCCGCTCCATCTCCGCCGCGCGCTCCGCCGACGCCTTCCCCACCACCTGCTCCCCCACGGCCGCCGACGACGCGGGGCGCACCACGACGGGGAGCACCGGCGCGGAGGACGACGCGGCCGCCGACGCCGACGAGCGGCGGCACAGGTGGCGGATGAAGTAGTGGATGGAGACGGAGGCGAGGAGCATCACCACGACGATGACGGCGATGATGAGGATGCTCGGCGAAATGCCCGCGACGCTCCCGCTCACACTCTCCTCCCCCTTCGCCCCATGCCCTCCGCCTCCATCGTCGGCCACCACCGGCACAGCCACCATCGGCACCCTCCTCTCCGGCGACGGCGGCGGAATCACAGCCGAAGACGACATCAATCTCCTCCTCTCTTGTTGCGTTCTTGCGATCTTGGCGGTGAGGAGGAAGGTGAGCTAGCTTAGCTACGGCACTTGTCTGTGGCTTATAAGTAAGGATTTTGGCAGGAAGCGAGGGCGGCCATGGCGGCTTGTGATTTATACTTCTGCCGGGAAATTGTCCGGGAAAGGGACGCTTCTGCACTCGCATCCTAATTGCTCTTGGATTCTTCCTCTCCTAATTTCACTATTTAACATTTAATTTCTATAATCACAAAAAAAATCATCATACTGTGTACTGTACTCGATCCAGTAGAGTAGTGGTGTGCTGGCTTGGCTAGTGTTGTGATTTGAGTGTACTAGATTTTCGCAATTTGGGATTTGGGGGGGCTCAAGAGGGTTTGTCTCCGTTGAATTCTTTGCTTTCCCTTATCTTCTTTTGAATTATTTAAACTTTGGATATAAATTATAGCTAAAGGATTGGGAAGTTTATTGGTAGTGCTAATGTTCTTAAGAAAGGAATATATCAACATGGCCTAATTTATGCTGTAATTAATCATACCAAAGAAAGGATAATTAAGGAAAAGTAAGTTTCATACCAATAACATGAGATATTTGGAACATCTTGAGAGTTAAAAAGCCTCCCGATATTTTTAGAAGTATCACGAGGAAATTGGCGCTACCGTCGCGATGATGTACAATAGATGGTACACGTGACAATGCCTTCGTTGGTGAAGTTAGAGCTAGCTTCATGAGGTGAGCGATATAAAGCGACAATTGTAAATGGTGAGTTGGATGTAGAGCGTGAGGGTGCGATAGTTTGGTAGAGTGTCGTGTTTTTCTTGAGTTTTATATACTTGGCGTGTGGTATGTTGTATTGGGTTGTCCACGTGGCGTAAATGTTAATTTGTAGCTCACGATATTATGCCTTTAGACTTTTACACGCTGTTTGTAATTTCTTATTAATTATTTTTGAAGAATTAGTAGAGCTCCTATTCTAGGAATTAAAGGGAAAAAAAGAGAGAGCAGCACTGTAGCACGACAAAAACCTTACAAGCAAAAGTCAATTAAATCTGCTCTCATGCATGGAGAGCTGCCATTTCGTAGAAATGAAGGCCTATCCGGTCAATGAGTTGATCTTCCCACAAATGGAACTAAAAATTGCAGATGTAGGGATTAATTTAAAAATTGACCCATGGTTTTCTTAAATTTTGAATTGGACGTACACTTCTAATGGAACACAAAGACATCGATGTATATACCAAGTTGCTCGTGGATTGTATATATCAAGATCTATAAACAAACGAAGTGCATGCAGCTACTACATGAACGTGTCTAGAAATACATGGGCCAACAGCCAATCATATATTAGGCTGTCCATGCTGCCTGCCTTGTATGCATTCTTATCTTTCAAAGCCAACAAAAGTGAGGGAAAACGTATGATTCTTTTTTCCGTTTGAAAAGCAAATACACACTATTAATATTACTCCTTCTATGAAAAGAAAATTTAGATAAAATCCCAATTTAATTTGCATATGTGTCAAGGTCAAGATGTATACATATAGTTTTACATATTTTATAAAAGTTTAATTCATTATTAATTAATAATTTTTTCCTATCATTTGATTCATTTTTTAATATATTTTTATGTATACGTATAGTTTTACATATTTTACAAAAGTTTTTAAATAAGATGAATGGTTAAACATATTTAAAAAAGTTAACGGTGTCAAATATTTAGATACATGCAGCCTTGTGAGTGACCCTACTTGTACTGTGGTGTACTGAGCTGAGCTGCAGCGGTGGGCTTGTGGCGGGTTTCTTGGACCTCGTCCTACTGACTACCACGGGCCCACCAATACTGCACGGCAGCACGAGTAGTGCCGCAACTTAGATAAGGGACGGTACAAAACTACTGTGCAAATCAAATCTATACTACTTTAAATTATGTTAGTGATGGTATTCGAGCCTGTCTTTAAACACAACAAGCTGATATTTGGGGCTATAAGGTCTCCAGACGTCAATGCTTTTGCTTTAGATGTAACATTCCTTAAATATATAGTATTATATGCCTAATAAACTAACTATGCTATAAACTTGTATTTTTTGTTTTTATCTCTTATAATATTCGATAATATCCGTTGCAATGCATGAGCCTTTAGCTCGTACGAGAATTGAATCAAATACTATACTACAAATTAACCTAGCATTTTTCACACATAGTAAACTGCGGCAAAGTGTGATGCTATAAGACAGTAAGGCTTTGCATCCATTCTGAATTTCACTGATACCTTCATATATATAGTGGGGGCGTGGTTTCATTCATGATGAGGGTAGGGTACATACATCATGTTTGCTTGCTAGCAACGTACACATGAAGAGCAAGCAAGGTAGTGCTCCTCATGGTTTACCTTACCGTTTTCTGAAAACGATCATGTTTGTTTACTGAAAACCGAGCAAAACACTGACAACTTTTGTGTGGAAATTATCTAAATTTGTTCGATTTTTACAAACCGATCCCTAACGGTTTCACTAGAACTGATAAAAAACGTACACCTTGGTACTCCCTAGTTAGTTTATGAGTAGCTGAGCAACATAATAACCTGATCAGTACTCCATTTGTGACTATAGCTAGGTACTCCATCTACAAGTGGCACTGCATCGATTTGTTGGTGAATGGATGAATGGGTCTCACACTCTCACAGGGTCTATCTGCAAGTACTCTCCAATGATGGGGGAGCCCTCACGTGCATGTCTCCTGCCACCACCTGCAACCATGTCGCCACTTGATGCTTCCCATTCATCACAACTGCTGCTAATCTAGTGTCTAATCAGGCCACTAATCTTCAAATTGGAATCTGCATGATGCCACATCTCACTTCTGCTTGCTGGCTGTGTGAGACTCCTCATTGGATGATTTGGTAGTGCATGGATTTCCGGGGTTATCAAAATGGTGATAGAGTAATAAACTAAACATAATATTTTGCTATTACCAATGTCAGTATTCTTATCAATGTCACTCCAACCAAAATTTGACGAGGCTATAAATCAATAATATCTTGATATTATCAAATTTTAGTAAGGTTAATTTTGTTAATAGACTGAACAAGCCCTATCTATCTCTCCCTCCTGTAGTAGTATGTCTCTCAATTTGTTGATCTGAAATTTCTCGGGAAAAAAAAGAACTTGTTGGTCTGAAAAAAACTCCCGATCTTCTTCTTCAGTTCCTTTGGTTCAGTTTGCACCGTATTATCTCTGCAGAAACTAGCATTGCAGTTGGGTCAGCTACGATCAGCATGACGTGAGTATGCAGGTAATCCTGTATGCTTTTCTAGATTCTGTTCTTAGGATTATATATTTGTTCGGTTTAAAGTAAATGAGGATTTACAAATGTAAAAGCAGGTAATAATAACAAGTAACTTTGAGACATATCGATATCAGGTTTGATTTGATTCTCAGTTCCATCAGCTTTACAATTCCACATACTATATGTAAGCACGCACATATATAAAAATAAAATAAAATGTCTTTTATTCAAGTTGTTTCCCCTTTGCTTTTTTTTTTCCTTGTATAAAGTAGCTTAGCATTCAAGAAGGCATAAGATTCATCTTATTTCTAACAGAAATTTAAAAAGAATCCGACATTTCAAAAGCGACTTGTTAATGAATTGCAAATACCACATAATATCAAAGCTGAATACTCCCATTGTTCTATATTGTAAGTTATTTTCAGTTTTATCTCAAGTCAAACTTCGACCAAGTTTATAAAATATACACCTTTATTTGTACTAACAAATAAATACACTATGAAGACATCAATGTTTGATTTAATTCTGATAGTCTAAATCTTGTTGATGTGTTTTTCTAAAGACTTGATTAGAATTATAAAAGTTTGGCTTACGATAATACTAAAATGATTTACTCCTTCCATCTCATAATAGCTCAACGGTATGGGAAGTGATTTTATCCCTCAAGGAGATATCCCTTGTTTCGTGCATGCCACCTAAATAGTTATAAAAAAATTGGCAAGATAGAATAATATGAAATATATCAAATTCAACTTCTACAAGTTATAACAAAAATAACAAATATAGATGCGAATGTACGATAAATACTTTTTAATTTAGTATTTTTGTTGCTACTTGTAGAAGTTAAATTTGGTCTTGCATGTTTGTGGAGTAATATATTTCATATTAATCTATATTGTCAATTTTTGTTGATAACTATTTAGATGACATACAAACAACGAAGGGATATTGTTGACGCGAAAATTTGGTCGTCAACAGATATCCCATCGAGGGATAAAAATCCATATATAGTAGAACCGTAATATAGTATGGAATAAGTACTATTCAAAAGTTTATACAGTACTCTACAGTTTATTCTACTTGGTGGAGTCAACGGTGACTCGTGCGGAAGTAAACGGAGAGAGTACTAGGATTACTATGCGAAGCTTAGGCCTGATTAGTTACTGAAAAGAAAATTTTGGGGTATCACATGGAATATTTGATCGGATATTGGAAGGAGTTTACGGACACGAATAACAAAACTAATTTTATAACTCACCTGGAAACCGCGAGACAAATTTATTAAGCCTAATTAACCTATCATTAGTACATGTGGGTTACTGTAGCACTTATAGCTAATCATGAAATAATTAGGTTCGAAAGATTCGTATCACGATTTCCATGCAAACTAGGCAATTAGTTTTTTCTTTTTGTCTATATTTAATGCTCTATACATATGTACAAAGATTCGATGCGATGTTTTTAGGAAAAAAAAAAGGAAAGTAAACAAGGCCTTACTGTATCAGTGACCAAATGCTCTGGGTGGGCTAGGAAGTAAACTCTCTCTCTCTCTCTCTCTCTCTCTGGGTGGTTATTTTTCGCCTCAAATGAACTCCTCCGGATACGTTCCTTAGATCACGCGTACACGCATGCCGTTGACAAGTCAGTTATTATAGTTTGATGCCCCGATTGGAGTGAAACCATGCATACGTTTACCAGGGAAAGGAAACAGATTATTTCAAGTTTTCAACCGTGCATTCATGCTGCTTCTGCTGCTCTTTCCCCCATGAAACTATAGCTAGACGCATACTCCCTCCATCTAAAAAAACTTAATTCTAGGTTTAAATTTGGACATATGTAGGCCCATCAGCTCTCTGCATCTGCAACTGTGCAAAGAGGAAGAGAAGACAAGGCACGCACCGACTCGAGTACTGAACAACTGATTCGGCAAAGGCAGCAGATCGACCAAAGATACTATATACCTCTCAACACTGAACAATGCCAAGTCAGTGAATTTTTTTATATATAAAAAGTTATGCGATGAAAACGACATGAATAACCAGATGCAAATACAGTTTCTGTAGCAAATGATGGGAGGAGAAAGAGAAGCTAGCTAAGGTTGGAATCGAATAAAGCCTCACGTCAAATATACCCTCCCAACACAACATTTTTTTGGCACTGACCTGCAGGCTCAAAGCCAGTATGTATCTATCGCTCGACAGACAAAAAGAAAGAAAAAGAGAAGTGATCCAAGAGAAACAAAATCAAAGGTATCTTTCTTTCCTTCCATGGTCATAAACAAGAAATAAGAAAAAAAAAAGGAACACCACTCACTCTGTTCTTTGCTTCTCTCACACACAAACAAGTAGCAATCTGCAGGGAGAGACGATGGCCATGATGATTAGGCTTGGAGCTGAAAGTCGAAACGTGTCACTGATTCTCTCTGATCTTTAGGATTTGTTCCTTCTAGCCACATAGCTAGGCAGGCAGGCAGGAAGGGGCTCTTTTGGTTAAGGAAGAAGAAGATGATGAAAAGGAAAAGAAAAGAGGAGGAGCAATGCATTGGCAATTCTCAAGTGGCAGCTTTGGAAGGACTCTCAGTGACTCTGCCTTTGCCATGGATCGATTCTGTCTGCTGCCTCTTTGCCACTTTCTGATAAGAAAAAGTGAAGCTTCCATACCATTCCGTCGATGCAAGCCATACTCATCATCTTACTAGTGTTATAGCTTCATCGTTTAGCCTTCAGCTTATATTTAAATTCAAAACTTAATTTTAGAGTTGGTTTTCGGTTTTTTTCATTGTGGTTTCTTTTTCAGTATTCGTTTTTAAATCACTAATAACACTAATAAGCCATTTCGCTTGTAATAAGTATAAGCGAAATGGTGATGCTGTTAAAATGGCCAAGAAACATCAGCACTATACAGTAGTATGTGGGAAAATATCAGCAGCACTGGCTGCAGACACTGAGTTGCATGTGGCAGAGGCAGATCAGGGAAAAAAAAATTCAGAACCATCTGGATTCATTTAGTGATCATTGTTAGGAATTGGGTGGGCTGCCAAAGCTCTCCCAAAGCCTGGCCCAAGCGAGCCCAAGGAGAAATTACATAGGCATCAGCGCAGCCCATCCAAAACTATCTAACAGATCATTTTGTCACACTTCTCGTGATATCTTTGGATGGATCAATACATAAAGGCACCTCAGTTAATAGATCTAGGCCCCTCGGATTCAAAGGAAATTCATAATTTCATAGAAATTTTAGAGAATTTTATTCCTATAGAATTTTTTTCTATATAGCTCAAAGAAATGAATCCTATGAAATTTCTATGAAATGCCTCTTCCCATGCGAGTTTTGAAGGAAAATTTAACATGAAGTAGAGCCTTATGGAAAGAATCCTTCAAGTTTTTATCTCACCTCAAATTCCTATGTTTTTGTTGTGATCCAATCAAACGGTCATTCCTATGTTTTTCCTGTGTTTTTACAATCATCTATTTTACACTTACATTTCTATCAGAATCCAATGTTTTTCCTATTCCTCCATTTTTTCATTCCAGTGATTTAAAGGAGCCCTTAAAAACATTAATAATACAACATGCAAACATTCACAGACTCACAGTCAGTACTCAGTACCAGATCTCTTCGATCATTTGCACTATTTTTAGTGATAAAATTAATAGGTTGATATACATCAAATACAAGTTGCTTCTCATGGCGTAAAAGCCTTAAGCAGCGCGCAGTAATTCTGACCAGACTCTCACTGTAGGGGAAATTACGTTGAAGTTGAAGAGATTCTTCCAACTTGGTGGGCCTACCACCCTGATACCTGAACAACAATTTTGGGACCTAGGGATACCCAATTCCAAGAATTAGGAGCTTGAACTCTCCCATACAGCTCTAAATCATGTATAATCAAGCTATCTACCAGTTAATAGACAGGTCTGCCTTCATTTATGACTGATGAAATCTGATTGTTGCAAATCAGCACCTTAGAAGAAAAGGAGAAGATCAGGATACTTTACCAATGCTGAGGGATACTTTACCAATCGGCAGCTGGTAGAACCGCCAGCATTAGAAGTATTGATGGATTGATCGATCGATCGATCGATCCGGGAAAAATATCAGCAGCACTGGCTGCAGGCACTGAGTTATACTCCAGTATATTGACAGAGGCAGATCAGGGAGAATTTTCAGGATACATTTGGTGATCACTGCTAGGAATCGGGTGTGCTGCCAAGGAAAAAATTACACAGGCAATAGCAGCAGCCCATCCAAAACTATCGAACAGATCATTTTGGCACGCTTATTTCATATCTTGGGATGGATCAATAAATAAACTCAAAATGTATTAATTTCCCGGGCAAATTGCAAAATAACTTTAGCCAGTACCTCAGTAGTAAACAGATAAATTAATAATACAACACGCAAAACAGTCACTGTCAGTATCAGATCCTGGCAATTGCACTGTATTTAGGTGATAAATAGAGTGAGATATACATTAAGTACAAGCCTATAGGATCCGGATTCCGGATGCCTTAAGCAGCAGCAGTGATTCTAACAAGACTCTCGGTGTATGGCATTACGCTGAAGTTGAAGAGATTCTTCCACCTTGGTGGCCTACCACCCTGATACCTGATGCCACCCAGCTCGCACACGGCCGTCAGCTCATCGCTCCACAGGTCGTAGCGGTGGATGGTGTGTTTTGCCCACAGCAACATCCCGCCATCACCAAGAAGGCCCATTGGATGGCAAAGTCTCGAGACATAGATGCAGTATCGCCGCTCCCAATCATCAAAAGACGGCGAATTTGTCGTCCAAATCGTCACAGGCATGGTGTCACTGTTGGCATGAAGGACGCACAATTCGCCGTGTAGCACGTCCGGCCTGACCTTGTCATCTAGGGCAGGGTCCAGTGAATGAGGAAGAAGAGTGACGCGGAACGCTTGGTCTTGCAGGCTAAACCAAAGGAGGCCACCATGGAGAGTGTCATTAGGGTAGCGAAACCGATCCATGTACCAGAACAAGTAGCCACCATTGACAGTGAAGGCAGTGAGCCATCTACTGACAGGGTAGGGAGGATCAGTGACGGTCTCCCTCCAGCCACAGCCTGCGCCCGTTTCACCGACGGTGAACACCTCCATCCCCATGCGGATGGGGTCCATTGAACGGTAGAATGCTCGAACCACCTTGTACTTGCGTGTGACAGGATCTAGGCCTAGCCCTGCAGCGTAGCAAGCTTCCATTTCCGTGCCATGGTGGTGGTTATCACCATGGCCGTCAGGGAGAGTGATGGTGTCCCTCGTGGCCGGGTTGAAGAGGTAGAGGTTGGTGTCTGTGGGGGCGAGCACTAGGCCATCGCAGTGGGCGAAGTGGCAGACGAGGTGGAACTCGTTGGCAGGGAAGGCCGTGGCATCCATGAACCTGGCAATGGAGGCACCTCGCTGCCATTGGTAGAAGCTGATTTGGGTGGAGAAGTTGTTGGGCCAATCACCTAGTCCTCCAACTGGGGGTTGAATATCGCAACGCCCAAGGAGGGTGTGGGGGCTGATGAGGATGGATGGCTCCTGTTTAGAAGCCGAGCACTGGAGTTGCGTTCGGATGAAGGATGGCTCGGAGATGATTGCACGCCACCCTCTGCAGACGGACTTGAAGCGTAGCAGGGATTTGACGGGCAGCCGAGCCAGAATCTCCACCACAATCTCCTCCGGCAGCAGATCAGGAAAAGTAGCTGCTGCAGGTGGTACTACAGTCCTCTTCCTCTTCCTATTCCTGCTCCTCGTCTTCACGTCCATGGTGTCGTCGTACATGCAGCAAACACACAAACAAAGACTATGTATGATGCTTAACTCTGAGATTGCGGTGCACATATACACTAGTACTATATTTATTCACAAAAGGTAACATAACATAGTCCGAATCGGTGTCTCTCTAACACCAAAAACGAATCGGAGTCAGCTGCGCCGAATTCTGAGAAATCCACAAGGACAACGAAAAGAGAGTTTTTTTGGGGGGGTGCTTTGTGCTAAGAAAGAATGAATCTAGTGAAAGGGAAAACCAAACAAACAGATGAACATGCATACATACATACATCCTATACATTACAACCGCGGGAGCGATTCAGATCTGGTGGTAAATTATGTGTCTGGCTGGCCTGATGTGTTGCCACAAAATAAGCCAAGACAAGAAAAAAAATGGTGGGTTTTGAAGGGATCGGAGGTGACTTACATCTCTCGCCCTCACACTGGTACAACCCTTCATCCATCCTCCTCCACTCTCAGATGCAGCAGTACGGCGGCGGCGACCGCCTAATGGATCCATCACGGCACAACACCGGGTCTACCGGTAGATTGGTTGGATCTTGGGGGGACGGTGAGGGTTCCGGCGGCTCCTCCTGGGATGGGAGAAGGGGAATTGGGGAATTCTGTGTTGCGGGGGCACATGCCACGGGGGTGATTTTTATTTATTTTGGTCCTGTTTGGCTAATGGGAAATCATTTCCCATCCACTAAAAGACATCTTTAAATCTTAATCATTCATTCTCCCTTTTCCATTTAATTCTAACCCTTCATTCATTTCTCAATCCCAATTCCACTCCACATTTTCCATTATCCAAACACACCCTAAGGTTTGCCCCCACAGGCCCACATGTCAAACGCGACATTCGCGGCCCGTCAAGCACATGAAAAGAAAAGGTAGGGGGGGGGGGTTAAGTTCACTATAGGTCCCTCAATTTGTCCCAACTTTCAAAGGAAAAAGTACACCCAAGGTCCCTCAACTTGTCATCGAGTTACAAAATCGTCCCACAACCGCAAAACCAGATATATGATATCTCTCAACTTACAAAACCGTTCACTTTAGGTCCCTCGGTGGTTTTGACCGCGGTTTTGTCTGACGTGACGGCTGAATCAGCGTGGAACCCATGTGGGCCCCACATGCCAGGATTCCACGTCATCACCCTATCTCTTTCCCCTCCTCTCCCTTCCTCCTCTCTCTCTTTCTCTCTCTCTCTCACTTTTCTCCTCTTGGGCAGGCCGGCCGGTGGGTGGGGAGGTGGTCGCCGACAGCGGGATGCAGTGGCTGCGGCGCGTACCTGGCCGTGCCGCCGGGGGCGCGGTCGGTGCGATGCGCGCTCTGCCATGCCGTGACGCGCGTCCCTCGGCCGCGCCAGCCACAGCGAGCTTAGCGCTCGGAGCCACGAGAAGTAGTCGTTGATGACGAGCAGCGCCCGCGCCGCCTGCCTCGTGGTTAGGATCCGATGCATCTGCTGCCTCAGCAGATCAGCCTACACAAAAATATCATCGCATCACGCCATGGTAATAAGCAATTTAGTTCGCCATTGATGTTTGACCGAAGCTTGAGGAAGTTCTCCAGCGTGGTGAGCATGGCCATGGCGATGGCCATCTGTCCCATGTAGTTGGTGACGTTGTCGGCGCCTACACCGCCGACGACCACGGTGGCGGCCGCCGATGCCAGTGTGTCTCCTAGCGTCTGCTGCAGAGCCTCCATCCCCTGTGACAGCGCGTCCTCGGCCTGCTGCGACGACTGCTGCAGGTTGCAGATGCCCATCAACTGCTGATTCGTCAGCGGCTCAAGATGGCTCTCAAGTACCTGCACAAACAACATCATCATCATCATTCAACAATAGCAGTCAATGGTAGCTTCAGATTCTTTGCTTGTTACTGAATTGGGTGGGTGATCACTCGTGTCAAACCTTGAGGAGCTCAGAGCAACAGAAGCCGCCGAGCCACATGAAGAAGCGCTCAGCGTGGCTCATCCACAAGATGCGGGACCTCATCTTTGGGTTGTTAGAGCATCTCCAACAGTCTCTCTAAAATAGACTCTCCAAACATCTATATAGCCAGCTATCCATTTGATTTAGCAAGTCAAAGTCGTTACTCGCTCCAAGAGCCTCTCTGTCTACCCTCTCCATTACTAGTCTATTACTAGTCTATTACAAATAGGACCCACATGTTAGTCTCTGCTACCCTTCTTCTTCCTCTTCCACCCCATTTTCCCACTCACATCTCCCTTCCTCCTCCTGGACTACAGTCTACAGCCTTCTTCCCACAACCTCTCCTCCGATGCGGCGACGGCGGACGGCGGGCCACGAGCGTGCGAAGCAACGAGCTGCAGATAGCGGTGGCGGCGAGGCGGCGGACTGCAGCAAGCGGAGGCGACGCAGAGCTGGCGGGCTGAGCGGAGGCGACAGGTGGTGGCGAGCGGAGGCGGCGGGCTGAGGCGGAGGCGGGTCACGGGTTGAGGCAAGCGGAGACCGACGACTGCGGCAAGCGGAGGCGGGGACTGTGGCGAGTTGAGGCCGCGGGCTGAGGCGAGCTGAGCCGGGAAGCGGCGAGCGGAAGCGGCAGGCGTAGGCCGGCGGCTGCGGCACCGCCGCCGCTCGCATGGGAGAGGATGCGCGCACGGATGGCGGTCTCTTCGTTGTCGTCGCCGTTGTCCACCATCGCCTGGGGCTACGGGCGCCATTGTCGCGGCTGGCACTGTCGTCACCGCATCGTAGCAGTGCTCCTTCCCGTGCCTCCTCGCGCCGTGCTCGAGCTCGCCGTCGAGATTGGGTGGGAAAAAGACGGATGCGAGACTGCGAGAGAGAGAGAGAGGGGGGAGGGGGTGGAGGAGATGGGATGTGTGGGGCCCACCATTGACCAGCCAAGTAGAATGGCCAAATGTAGCCAGTGAGGAGGATGGTTTGGCCAGCCAAATAGCAGTGAGTTGGAGAGGCTGTTGGAGCATGTTTTTTTTGGATATAATTGCTAAAATTTAACTTGGAGAGTCAATTAGAGAGGCTGTTGGAGATGCTCTTAGGGAGTGTAGTTGGTACAACTCGTCTTCGCTGTAAATTAATCCATGACACTTCTAGGTACACCCTTTGTCCCAAAATAACTTTATTTGTATCCGACGTTTGAAAAATTTATGAAAAGATAAAAAAAATAAGTCTCACATAAAATATTATTCATGTTTTATCATCTAATAATAATAAAATATTAATCATAATAATTTTTTAAGTAAGATGGACGGTCAAACACTAGACACATAACCCTACAAATAAACTTATTTTAGGATGGAGGGTGTAGAATTTTTTGGGTTGAGCAGCCACAAACACTTTGACTTGATCGTTTTGGCGTTAGTTGTTATGTACTCATTTTTATATTATAAGTCGTTTTGACTCTTTTCATATTATAAGTTTATAGAAAATTTAGCAACATCTATAAAACCAAATTAGTTTAATTAAATATAACATTAAATATATTTCATAGTATGTTTGTTTTGTGCTAAAATTATTGCTATCTATAAACTTGATCAAAGTTAAAAAGTTTTGACAAGGAAAAAAAAGTCAAAACAATTTATTATATGAAACGAAGGGAGTACGAATGAGAAATTGGTGAATTTGGAAGAGATTGATGAGTAAATCATGGTGTTGCCGTTCCACTTGAGCAAGATGTTGTTTCATTTCGGTTTAGAACTAGTGTATATAGTCGCGCATTTGTACGACTCTAACCATCCTACTATTTGCTATGTATATCAAAATATATGAATTATATTTGGCATACATCATTTTTTCAAACATAATTTCATAAAACCCCACCTATTATGATTCAAGTTAAAAAAATATAGAAATTTTGACACGTGACACATAACCTTAGTTATTAAGTCATGGTAACCCCCTCTATATCTATCTATTATATTATTAAAACAGCCTTAAAAGGATGCACCATGTTCGTTGTGGAGGCTAGAAATTCCCACATTAATCGGAGAAAAAGAAAAAAAAGAGTACAAGTAGAAATACAATCTAAAAATAGCTGAAATTCGGAATTAAAAATATGCAATATTGAAAGACGAGTCCATATAGGAACCCAATACATGATTAATTAAATTTCAGAATAAAAATAAAATAAATTTTGAAAATAGGAAAAGGAAAAGGAAGAGTTCGAGTATGAATACACTTAAAAATAACTGAAATTCGGAATTAAAAATAAGGAATATTGAAAGAATAGTCCATAAAAGAATCCAATACAAGATTAATTAAAATTCAGAATAAAAAATCAAAATTAGAAAAAAGAAAAGAAAAGAAGAGTTCAGGTAGGAATACAATTTAAAATTAACTTAAATTTGAAATTAAATATAAGCAATATTTAAATAAGAGTACATATAAGAACCCAATAGTAGATTAATTAAAATGCGGAATAAAAAAATAAAATAAAATAAAATCAGAAATTAGACAAATTGAAAAGAGAGTTAGAGTAGGAATACAATTTTGAAACAACTGAAATTGAAAACAAAAAAAATACAAATATCAAAAGAACACAATAAGAAAAATAAAATTAATTCTGAAATTAGAAAGAGAAAAATAAGATTTCAACTAGGAATACAATTTATAAATAACTACAATTGGTGATAAAAAAAATAAGACTACTGAAAGAAAAGACCATCTAAAACACATGACGAGATTATTTAAGTAACAGGCCTATAGAGGAGCAAAGTGGTGGCGGTTGATGAGACATCTAAAAAGTATTAATAAAACACCAAATACAATCCTAATGACGATTAAAAGGAATGACGACGGGGCAGGTCGTGTAGCAAATCGGTCAAGGCGATTGGCGAGACTTTTAGGAAGTAAAAAAATAAACCCCAATGATAATCATATTTGATTTTTAAAATCTCAATTACAATAAAAAAGAGAGGCAGCGGGAAGGTCGTATAGGAATACAATGGCAGAGCCGCCGATGGTTGGTGGGTCTTCTAGAAAGTAAAAATGAATTCCAACGGTAGTTATGTTAGATTTTTATAATCCCAGTGATAATAAAGAGTATGTGGCGGACGGGTCGTAGAGGAGTATAGTGGTAGCGTTTGACGGGATTTCTAAAAATTATATAAAAAAAGAAACCCAACGAGACAATAAACTCTAAAACTATAAGATTCAATTTTTAAAGGTTCGGGCTTCTAAAAAGTAAAAAAAAATAAACCTCAATGATAATCATGTTTGATTTTAAAATCTCAATGACAATAAAGAAGGGCGGCAGCGGGCGAGCTGTAGAGGAGTACAGTGACAAAGTCTCTGACGTTTTGGCGGAACTTCAAGAAAGTAAAAAAATAAACCTAAACGATAATTATGTTCGATTTTTCAAATAGCAATAACAATAAAGAGAAGATGCAGTGGACGGTTCTAGAGGAGTATAATGGTAGCGTTTGATGGGACTTCTAGAGTTATAAAAAAGAAGCCTAACTTGACAATAAACTCTAAAAACTATAAGTTTTTAGATCCAATTTTGAAACGTTCCAAGGAGAATGAATAGAAACAGTGGTAGATCGAGCAAGCTAATAAAGAATAATATAACAGAAGCAAGGGGTAGCAACCGGTGTGACTTTTAAAAACTATAAAATTAGAAACACGAGGATGATAAGGTATGCAGTGGACGGTTGTAGAGGAGTATAATGGAAACGTTTGATGGGACTTCTAAAAATTATAAAAAAGAAGATTAACAGGACGATAAACTCTAAAAAGATCCAATTTTTAAAGGTTCCAAGGAGAATGATTAGAAACAGTAGTAGATCAAACAAGCTAATAAAGAATAATATGTCAGAAGTAGGGGTAGCAACTGGTGTGACTTTTGAAAAGTATAAAATTAGAAACATGGGATGATAAGGTTTGGTCTTTCAAAATCTTAAGACATCAATATAACTATTTAATAAATTTTAAGTAAAACCATATGGAAAAATATATAATTTTATATGGGTGCTAGCCACGCAATTGCGCGGGCCACCAGCTAGTTTATATTATTTGTCTTAGATTTATTTTAATGTTTTAGACAAAAAAAATATCCAGGAGTCTAGTTAAAATAAGTATAGATTTATTTTTATGTGCAATAAACATTTATTGCAAACTTTACATTCAGATGTTAAACTAAATTTACATGATTTTAGTATTATTATTAACGCCATCTTCTATGGTGTATGAGTCCTTGCTTTTCACCGTCTCCATTGTTGTATGATCCCCTTATCTTGTCCTTACTTTTCATTGGTGCACCTGCTTTGAAATAATATGCTTATAAATTTTTAATTTTTAAATTAAGTCAATAGCTCTACGTATAATTATGAAATCGTTCTAAAATTGACATATTTTGCCATGCATATTTTTAGTAAGTGTTATTACCTATTGTTAATTTAATCGTAGGGAATGAATAAAAAGTACAACGGAATACCATTTTTATGAGGACACGACTAGCTCGGATATAAATATGACTACCTTATGTATTAATCAACTAAAGGCGTATATGTTCTATATAAGATTTACTTGTTATATATTTGAACAACCGTTGCTACATAATAAGTTTCGTGCGTTTTCGTTTGTAAAGGTACTTGCTTGGGCGAAAGAAGCGAAAGAAAAGAGACCGAGCGTAATAAATGCATGGATGATTAAAGAAATTGATTGGGGACCAAACCAAGACCTTCTCCAAGTCTACTTCTACCTCACCATGTCACTTTTGGTCCATAGAAGACAAGAGATAAAGTTCCACACATATTGGATTCAGATCTCCTGACAGCATCAATTTCAAATGGACCTAGCTGCTGATCTAGAAGGAATTTCGAAGCCCATGAGTAGTTGTTGGAAAGCTTATGGAGTCTACTTTCATATGGTTTTGGTTCCATGTCAAAATTCCTACCGAGCTGCCGGGAATCTACAAAACAAAACACGTACCTTATCCAGTCCAAATCTGATTTATGTTTTGGGCCTTATAATTGTGTCGTGGGCTTAGCCCAAGGGGATGTGCGCCCTAGGGCAACCCTAGGACGTCCCTAATCATACTTAATCAGTAGCCGTCATCATTTAGAGTCGGGTTTTGCTTAGATTAGTCTGTCAAGAACAGTTTCGCCGCTAGATCGGTTTGTAGAACCCCAAATTCGAGTGCTTAATCATTCATATGCAATTTGGTTGCAATCTATCTTGTTCTTGCTTGTGTTCTTCGATACGCATGCAGGTATTAGCCTTCTCGGCGAGGTCAACCAGGTTTCGGCACGATTGATAACCAGAGGAGACGTGGTGTTGCGATTGCGGGGCTCAGTAGCGTGTTCGTTCAGAAGCCGGATTGAGTTGTGTCGCGACTCCGCCCAAATCGATTGTTTATCAATACCTATTGGAAGATCGAGGCCTAACATCCCTCATCAATTTTACTATTTCTTTTTTCATATTATAGCAAAAGTAGGATGATTACAATTTTATCCCTCAAGCCTTTCTGCAATTTGTTTTGAACACCATGACTGCCAGTGTCAAGAGCGATGTGGGTTTGCTTCAAAAGATAATTTTATTCCTGTGTTCCCTTTGCAATTTTTTTTTATTTTCTTTGCACTCTCTCCCACTTGTGTGGGGAGGACCGGAGGAGCTGGAAAGCTCCAGAAGATCAGTTTTACCCTTTTTCACTGATACAATCCAATGGCTTCCTTTATCCGATGGTCCAACTTTTTTAGCTTACGCGGATCAATTAGGTGACATTTCAAAATCCACCATTCACTTATAGAGATTGGGAAGAATGTGGTCTTGACGTAGTGAATTTCTGATGCTTAGTTCTACTATGTAGTAATAAGGATCTTATTTTTTGTGAGAGATTTCTATAGCACAAAAAGAAAAGTAGGATTGTACTGTTATCTCAAAATTAGGGGCCTGCTCTTCATTTTAGGAACTGATACTACCAAATCTTTAGCTGCATCGAAGAATTCTCCATTAATTGTAATACAGCGGTAAGAAGGCATCATGTGTTGATTTGCTAGAGAGCTAATTGACCCAATGGATCATATTCTTTTGCCACTTAAACACTAGACGACCTCACAAACCTCCCAACTATATTACGTTTGCTAGGAGTAGATATATTAGCACTCATGCCATTATTTAAATTCCTAGGACAACAATCAACGACACGGTAGCATATGTAAACTAGAGCTTCAGCTGGTATTGGGTTACATCAATCCAGTTCCCTGTCTGTAGAATTTGCTTTACTAGATTCTACAAGGGCTAACCTTGATTTTGTCCCTGCCAGATTGTTCTGGTACCTGATGGGCGCGAGCCTCCAACTCATCCAGGATCATAATGACAAAAGGTGAGGATACTCTGCTATTACCATTATAATCGTTGGTATAGAAGATATTACTATATTAGTGTCTATAATAGTATAATCATAGTTTTGTTATGATAAAGGACGTGAACCGAAATGATAAACTCCCATCATAGCTAGCATTAATTGTCCCAGGTGCAGGGCCCTGTGCGAAAATCAATTGCAACTCCCGCGTAGCTCTCGCGCGGGCGGCTCGGGAGGCGAAAATCCTAGCCGCCCGCACCGCCACTCCACCTCCTCCATCTCGTCGCCGCTGGAGCTCGCCAAGACCCAACAACTCGACGGTCTCCACCTCGGTGCGACGAGGACGGGGGAAGCCGACGAAGTACTCCGTCGCAGCCAGGGGAGGAGACGGCGTGGCGGCTTGGGGAGGCGGCGGATCTGGCTCCTCTGAGGCCGGATTTGGCCCTCCCATGCCTAGATTCGGCCGGAGCAGCTGGCTGGGAGCTTCGGCGGCGGTGCAGAGGTAGCGGAACAGCCCGGACACCACGGCGGCGGCTCAGCGATGGTGCGGCAGCCTGCGCGCAGCGGTGGGAGCACCCCGGGCGCGATGGCGGCATGAGGCGGCTGGGAGCATCGGCGGCAGCTCGGCGACGGTTCGGTTGCCCTCGGGCGCGGTGGCGGCTCGACGGGCCGAAGGAGGCGATGGCTTGCTGCCGGCAACCTCAGCCGGCAGAGGCGGAGGCGATCGGTGACGGTGGCGCAGGGGTTTGGGGGGCGAGATGGCCAGACCCACCTTCCCTGCCCAGACTCAGCACACAGCAGCACTTTTTGCAGCGGTGGTGAGGCGGCGGGGTGCGGCTGCGTGGAGGAAACGGGGAGGTTGGCTCCTATGTGGCGAGGACGGCGGCGTCTGAGGCGGCTGGCGGTGGCTGTGGCTGAGGTGGCGGCCGTCGCGGTGCGCTGTGCCGGGCGGTGGTGGTTGAAGGCGGCGGGGATGGCGTCGGCCGAGGGCGCGTGTGGAGGCGGTGGCGACGTCGGTGGCGGGGAAGGAGTCGGGTGCGAGGTGAGGTGGCTGGGCGTTCAGCAGCAGCGGCTGCGGTGGTGGTGACCGTGTCTGCGGTCACCAGAGGCATGGCGGCTTCGGATGGCTAGCCGAGGGCGTGGGAGATGGCTGCATCTGGCCAGCGTGGCATCGTTTGGTAGAGGGGTCGGAGACCAGCTTGGCGCAGAGAGGCGTAGCCGATGGCAGGGGAGGCCGGCTCGGCGCGAGAGGCGCGGGCGGCGGAGATGGAGACCAGCTTGGCGCGAGAGGCGCGCCCGATGGAGGGAGGCCGGATTGGCGCGAGAGGCTCGTCCGGTGGAGGAGGCCGACTTGGCGCGAGAGGCGCGGCCGGCGGTGGAGGAGGCGACCTAGGTGTGGGGAGGAGCTGCCGGTGAGTGTGGCGCGGTTTTCGGCACATGAAGGCTGGCCGGCGGAGGACGTCGGTGCAGGGGTCTCACATGTCGGCAGAGCTTGTATGGTGGTGGAGCATCAGTGCTTCAGCCATGGATTTGCAGGTGGTGAGCGGCGGGTGAAAACCCAGTCCGGCCTTGGCCGGACCGACAACGATGGTTCATTCCCCCTCCTGAGGGCGTTGTCGTGTTGTCTCACCCCTCAAGGGTGATTGCCGGGCGAAAGCCTAGTCTTGGCTCCATTGAGTCCCGACGGACGGTGGCGGCGGTTTTTCTGTCGCTTCTCTTTTTCAAGACGTCGTTTTTGTATCCTCTAGGGGGCGATCTCGTCTGTGTCCCTTTGTTGATCTAGTGGCGGTCGGTCACGTTTAGCGGCGGCCGGTCCGGTGTTAGTCTTCTCCTGGGCTTGTGTTGACGATGTCGATGTGTGGGTGATGGTATTTTTCTTTTCCTTTTTTCTGGTTACGACCCTACAGGGTTGTAATCTTGTAATTTTTTCCCGCTGAACTTAGTCGTTAAAAAAAAAGGTGCAGGGCCCTGCAATCTTCCGCCTGCTTTGTGCGGCTCTACTTACCAGCGAAGTTCCAGGCTTCCACTCCCGTGCCTCTCCGTGAGCTGAACCATCCAGAATCCAGCTAGATGACCAAGCCATCGCATTGCAATGAAGAGCTTGTTACTTTATGCACGGGACAACAATGTTGCTGAGGAAACAGATAAACTTGCGCTGGGCTTGAGCCGATTACCGTGGGCTATGCATGTATGCCTGTGCTGCCTAATCCACAGATTCCACAACAACATATTTATAACCAGTTAGATTAAAAAAAATAGAGGATTGTGTTATGTAGCTAACACCATGTTCATCTACAGCTGACATAGAATATTTTGATATTTTGGAGCTAATGACCCAGCTATATTATTAGACTCTATACTATTAAACAATATAAATTTGCTCTAAGGGTAAGGCTGAGCTGGATTGCTTTGGATCCGATGATAAGCTCTCTCTATTAATCTTGCTCTTAGAGCAGCGCTAATAAGTCGGTGATTAGCCGGTACATGTCATCTGGATCTGACGTGGAAGGAAAAATCGGATGTGAGAGAAAGAAGCTGGCTCTTCTACAATCGCCTGCTCAGCACAAGCGCTTAGGCGGACTGACAATCTAAACCCACATTCGGAGAGGGGAGTAAGAGCAAGAGCAATGTATCACTCAATCCGTTCAGTTTGGGGTGCCAAATAGACTAAAAAACTTCAAAAACCATAAGCTACACAATGCCATGTGGCCTAAAATCGGGTCCATTTCTGTTTGAAGACACACATGGGGCTACTCAGCCCACAGTGGGCGTGGCCTAGCCCACGGAGCCAAGATCTGTTCCAGCATGTGAAATTACCTATGTACCCTTGAAATCAACTAGTACACTGCCATTTGACGAGGCCGATACGACCGCGTCTCATCGCCTCCTCCTCACGCTAGCCGGAAATTTGCCTGAACCCTTAAATCTATAGCCATCACAATACTAAGATAAAAGAGAGCAAGGGGAATTTCACTATCTTTTGGTAATAAACCATCACAGAGCAAACTGGAAATTTGTGCTGCGCTACTGTACCTCCCGGCTCCCGCTGGTTCCATCTACAACAAAAGAATCTTCTTCATACCCCCGAGTACTCTTGAGTCTGAACTCTTCAAAATTTATGTCAGAAATGGTCTATCAAGTGCTTCAAAACAGCTGCTTTACAAGAACATTACCGCAGTATCTGCCTAAGAACATTCCTGCAGTATCTAGAGTAAAAGGCCACATCACCAAGGCAAACATGTAAATCAGAGTAAAAGGCCTTCCAGCCCCATCGGATGGCCTAATAAGTCAAAGAAAAAGCCAGATTTTAAATTTTCAAGCTTAATTTTAAGATTGATTTTGACATATTTTCAATATAGTTTCTTTTTCAACATTGGCTTTTAGGTCACAAAGAATACATTTATAAAAGTTTTACCCACAAATTCATTTTTATTTCCTAATAAGCCGTTTTGGCTTATTAGGAAATAAGCGACTTCCACTGTTTCACAATACTAAGAAATTTCCATGTCAGTCGTAGCAATAGGACAAAGGTTTTCACTGTTAAAATTGGTGAACCTATATTATACAGCACAAATGTGGCCGACTTCCTCAACCGAAATGCTTTGCTATGACATTCACCAAAGTAACCCCGGATCTCTCAATGCCATCATTCTTGTGGATCTACTTTTAGTGCATCCATCTTTGGTGGGGAAAGAATCATCATCGGAACCTTGTTTTTGGCCCGAGGTTCTCTGAGACACATTATCCACACACAAGTTAGGGGGGAGACACAAGATGATAGGAGCATGTTAAATCAATAAATTAACTACTTGTATCGGTATCAACAAACCTTTAGATGCAACATCTTTTATCATTGATCTTGCTTGGTCTACCTGGTTTTGAGAACCCCGGATAACAAACCTTCCTGTAGTGCCTGACTCACTCCTTGGATGTAAATTCTACCAAGATTAAAAAAGAAACAAGTTACCAATCTAATTATTAAATAGACAGATGAAAAGGGTATTTATTCATTTAAAACCACCTTAACAGATGCTCCAGATATACTTTGTATTTTTTAATAGTTGCACCACCACTCCCGATGACCAAACCAACCTACAAGATTTTACATTAGAAACTAATTTAGTTTTGGACTTAGTATTTTTCAGCAGCCCCACCTTCTCCATAGGAACGGAGATCTCCTCCTCAACCATAGAATCCATCTAAAAAGATTTTGTTTTTATTAGTACACCATGCATATTAACAAACACTAAGAATACAGAAAAAAAAGAAGCAAATTAATTAACCTCTTGTAGGAATTCCTTTACAAGATTTTCCGCCTTGCTTATTTGATGCGGGGTGCCAGATATCTTATAAAGCTGCATGTGTGTATAAGAATCTACACCAAGGCGGTGTATCTTTGCACCGGAAATATTTTCTAGTTTCATAATGTTTCCTCCTTTTTCACCAACGAAACAACCAACCTACTTTTTTAGAGGGTAATCAGAAATAGTTTGGATTTTAGGCATTACAAGAAAAATTACGATATATGAATATACCTGTTGTATAGGAATTTCGATAAATGTGCTCCTTATTGACTTCAGAATTTCTGCATCTACTGGCTGAAATATTATATAGTTAATATTAAGATCAGGTAGAGAGAAACAGTAAAGTATCTGCATAATATAGTTCAAAAAACAACCATAGATAGTTCGCTGCGCTTGCGACTTGGGCCAGCTGTATATCTGCCAAAAAAAAAGGAAAAGACTATTGAGAGTTGCAAAAACATCAATCAGCAGACTGCAGATAACTAGAGGAACCATAATAACCTAGGGAACCAATGCACAGGAAAAATTCATGCAAATTAACAAATAGAAAAACTAACTTGTGTTTTTCATTTGTGACAGGGTCAGATTCCCTCTGGGAAAACAGATGCAAATGGTTTGATACACCAACAACAGATTCATGTCCTCTGACTTGCCTGATTTCAGATTCATCAAGTGACCTACACAATGAACAAAAGGAAGGAATACAAGCTCACTAATATACCCAGAAAAAGTAGATGATTTATCTTATCTTAAAACTAGTAATGAGTTTGTAAAAGAAGAATCCTTACGGATCAAAAGCACCTCCATGTATAGCTAGAAGCTCAATCAAAGTTTTGGAGACTCCAAAACCTTCAGGAGGCATACTCAGGACCCTCCTTGTCTGTTAGTAAGAAAAAACTGGCATCAATAAAGTCCTGCAGATAACTACAGCAGCAATAAGAACTAAGTCTATGCATACCGGCTTTGTTATTTCCCGCCTGCTCTGATTTTCCTTCGTTACAGCTGTTGCCTTCTCACCTTTAATCACCTGCAGATGGCAAATTTGATCGATTAAAAATGCAATACCTGTAATTATTGCTGCCTGCAGGAAGCAATTAATACCTGTTGTCGGTAGGTGTGTTCTTCAATCGTTCCACATGTGACTAATCTATACACAATGACATCTTTATCTTGCCCAAGGCGATGGGCTCGATCAACACTTGAGTGTCATTGCTGAAATAAAATGATCCAACTTTACATATAAGTAGAAACAATTTTACCAAAGAGACAAAGAGTAAAAAAAACCTTGGATTCTTGGCTGGATCAAAAACAATGACCCGAGTTGCTTTAGTTAAAGTAATTCCGACACCTCCAACATTTGTTGTGATCAGAAAAAGTGACCATCTGTTAGTTTGTTGAAACTCCTGTATACAAAAATTATAACTGAGATAAAGAAGGAAGAACACATACTCCCTACAATAAATAAGAGATGGAGTAAACAGAATGGGTAATACAGAAGACAATAAAAACCTGGATTAACATTGGTCGCTGTTTCTGAGGTGTTTTCCCATCCATGCGAATCATTTTGCTTGGATCTACTATGGTGGACAATGCTCTCTACAATTTTCACAATTAAAAATGATTAAGTATGATAAATAAAAGAACATAATAGAGACATGGACAAATGAGAGTTATGCAACTATTGTAGCAGGATGGAAACCAAAGATGTTATCCATTGATGGCAGACTTTGCTTGATCAAGTCGGTGCTCATGGCCCTCCCGGTTCACTACTTGTCGGTTTTACAATTGCCAAAGTGGGCAATCAAGGATATTGAAAGAAAATGTCGGGGCTTCCTTTGGAAGGGTCAGGAGGAGGTAAGTGGAGGACATTGTCTGGTCTCGTGGCGAAAGGTGTGCTCCCCGGTTGAAAAAGGCGGCCTAGGTGTGAAGGATCTGAATTTCTTTGGTCAGGCTCTCCGGTTGCAATGGCCTGCGAGGTCGCTGGAGCAGAGGGAGAGGCCCTGGACCTTGGCTGCCTTTAAGCTAGGGAACGATGTGAATCTCATGTTCAGATCAGTGGTGAAGTACATTGTCGGAAATGGCGAAAACACTGATTTTTGGACAGCAAACTGGACTGGGCACGGCTGCTTTGCTTGGCGATGGCCAACGCTATTTTCTTATGTGGGGCGTGCTAGACTTTCAGTTGCTAAAGCCTTGTGCAACAACAGATGGGTCCGTGGTCTGCAGGGTGCACTGTCCAATGAAGCAATGGGCGAATTTTTTCAGTTATGGGATGAGGTCCACGATTTCTCCCTGCTCCCATCGCCTGACGAGATCAGATGGAAGCTGACGGGCGACGGGAAATTCTCGGCGGCGTCGGCTTATGATGTTTTCTTCATAGCTGCTGAGGACTGCTCCTATGGCGAGCTACTGTGGCGATCCAGGGCCCCCTCGCGTGTGCGTTTCTTCATGTGGCTTGCGTTGAAGGATCGATGTCTCACCGCCGACAATCTTGCGAAGCGAAATTGGCCGCACGACCCCCTCTGCTCACTGTGTGAGAGAGAAGACGAGGATTGCCACCACTTGTTTGTAACCTGTCCTTTTACGGCGGAGGTATGGCGAAAGATCAGAAGATGGTGCGATGCAAACTTTGCAATCCAGGCAGACGGTGACAGCAGACTTGCTGACTGGTGGCTTGCAACGCGACGCCGTTTTCGGACGAGCTACAAAGTGGACTTCGACAGTGCCTTCATGTTAATTTGCTGGCTTATTTGGAAGGAACGAAATGCTAGAATTTTTCAGCATGTGTCGATGACCACGGAGCAAGTAGCCGAGAATATAAAAGAAGAAATCACGGTATGGAGGGTAGCTGGGATCTTCTCCCAATTCGGCGAGTAATCGTTGTTGTATTGTCTATTTCTCTTTCGCTTGTTCACGCTGTGTCTGGGATCTCTCCCGGACTAGCGCGACATTGTAATGTCGCTGTAACATTCCTTTGTTTTTCTCCCCAATCTTAAGAAATTGGTTGGCCAACCTTTGGCTGACCCGGCAAAAAGAGAGTTATGCAACTATTGTTAGAAACTACCTCTATCATCGTCAATGTTCGTGGAGATTGAGAAAATAACAAGATCTTATATCTTCCTTGATGAGCCTATCCACCAAATATAAAGTAAAAGCTACTTTGCTGGACAAACTGTAGTCGTCGACTTCAATATCCTCGATGTTACTGACCGCCAATAAACCTTTTCGGATAATGTCAGTTAAAGCATCCTTCTTCTCTTCTGATTCACCCCTCTGTTCAAAGTCAGAACCAATCACCATTACTGGGTGATTGCAGATACTCCTCGCAACCTGTGATTAGACAAAAACAAAGGTGAAAGATCCGTACATCAAAAGGTAGAGTTGACAAAAAATAGACTTCAGATTGTAGGGGAGATTACTTGAGAAGCTGCCAAAGGTGTGCCAGGCTCATCTCCCAAAACATTGCTCATGATAAGATTGGTGTAAAGATATTCCTGTGGAGAGTAAGAAAAAAAAAGAAGTTAAAGATGACGAATAAATTTTGATAACATATTGATAAGCTTTAGTAAGTTTACTTGAGCAGCAGAGATCTTCAACCACACAGTCAATTCATGTTTAGTACCAAGTTTAGAGGCGCTATTCTTTAACATCTCTTTCGTCCTTCTCAATACAAAAGGGCTAACAAGTTTCTTCAGCCTCTGCAGAATACAAATCAAGCTTGTTCAGGATATTTGTACCAACCAGAAAAATAGAAATTATTTTGCCTGTATGTAGAACAGAAGGTATTTACCTCAGATGCTTCTATTGACTCTTTTATCAATTGCGCAGATGCGCCTCTATATCTAGCCCTTTCAATTGGCATGCTGAAGTTTTCATGAAATTGTCCGGACTCTCCAAGTAGATTAGGACAACAGAAGTTCATCAGCGCATAAAATTCCTGCAGGTAGGTTCCGTTACAAATAAGTAAACAAAAATAAACAACCAAATTTCTTTATGACTATTGTGGTTGGAGAGGGTGTACCGTCAAGTTGTTTTGGATGAGCGTCCCAGTCATCAAAATTCTGTGTGTACAATCAATTCTACATAAAGAATCAAAGAGCTTTGTCCTGTCGTTCTTCATCCTGTGCGCTTCATCGATAACAATATAATCCCAAGCCGTGCCCCGTCTCCAGAATGCGGTGAATATGGTCCCGGACTGCTTCAAATGTTGTTATAAGGACACCTCCATCCTGCACAGGAGATGGATATTGAGTCAAAATATTTCATCTGAATACCTATAGCAACCACCATACCAAGATTCAGGATAGCAAATCAGCAAGTAATGTGATTCTCTGTGTTAGGGATCTTTCAAGACTACTTGCATAGAAGCGAGGGTAGAAGCAGTATTCCATCTTTTATGATGCATTAATAAAATGGGTACTGGTCTTCTAAAAATAATCACGGGCTTATGAGTTGAGCAATAGTGAGGTTTAACCATTCCAGACCCCACCCCCACCCCATTCCCAAAACCACAAACACAAACACAAAAGGTAAGATAGTGTGGTCAAGTCTTGAATCTCAAGTAAGGAAACTTTGGTGTTGCATCTATCTCATTTTATATTATCAGCTGTAGCATTTCTTCTAACTCATAGAAAGTAGTTAAGCAAAGGCTGTATGGGATGACAGTAAAAATTAATGGAAGGCAACCTACCAAAAAATAGAATCGGTAACTCTGACAGATATCGACTATAATCACAGTTTTAATGTGATTGTTTTCAATAAATTAAATTCAATAGATAAACATTGTCCATCAAATAAATGGCATAAGTGGTAACATGACAGATTGAATTCAATCCAATCAAAAGAAAAAATAACAAGCAAGTTTAATGGATAAAAAGAATAATGCAAAAACATTAAAGTAGAGTGCAGGCTAACAGTAGCTATGCTTTTTAGTGCAATGCAGTCGGTTCTTCTATCATAACGGAACCTGCAAGAGAAAACAAATCCATTAAAACTGACAAAATAACTAGATATCATTACTGAAACAACTAGATAAATAGTTATATCATGTAAACTTACACTTTGATAACCAGCACACCAACAATATTAAGTTCTTTGCGCCAGGTTTCTATCACCGTGACTGGGCAAATGATCATTGCGTTGTGTATGACATCTGCCTGGAGCAAACCACGAAGAAAAGCAGCTACCTGGAACATAAACAAAATAAAATGCATTTATATAGCTAATTTTGGGGCGTGTGGTGCCTAATGTTGGATAAGTCTTTGTGGTCCTTGGTCGTGATTCTTCTTTTTGCTTTTGGATAGTTTCACCTTTTTCAGGACAGCATCTACCCTTTAGCATATTTTTCAGTTGCTAGGACAGCTGCGGTTAGTAGGACAGCAGCAGTTAGCATCTCCTTTATGCCTCCTTTATGCTTTATTCAGTTTGGATGCCCTCTAGGACAGCATCCCATTCAAATTTCGAATTTTAGACTAGGAGGGTGCAGCAATAGGCTAGCAGCCAGCTATGGCTATATATATGTATCCAACCTCCCTCGGGTAGGTATGGCTTTTGTGTTTAGTGAATGAAGAAAACCAGAAAATTGCCCCATCTCGAGTGCCATCCTCTTCTCAATGAGAGTAACCATTGAAATTCTAACATCTGGTATCAGAGCCATACTTTCCTGTAGACTAAACATCTCTTGTTCCACCCCCTCCCAAGCTCGGTTGAGCTCTTAGCCAGCAGCAGCAACAGCACCGGTTGCTCCTCCTTCCCCTTTCCCTTCCCCCTCTCCACGCAGCAGCCCCCCGGAGGTGCGCCATGTCCGACGCTCGGTCTCGGCGTTCGGTCGCCTCGAGCACTCGGCGTCAGCAGGACGCCGAGCTCGCCGCAGCAGAAGAGCGCAGGCGAGCAACGGCTCAGACCGCTGCAGCAGCAGCGAGGGCAGCCAGACTGGCGGCAGCGGAGTTGGCAGCAGCCAGGGCGGAGGCGGAGGCGGAGGCGGCGGAAGATGCGGCACGTGCGGCGGAGGTAGAGGTTGAGACCTTGCGCAGCAACATCAACGGCTCCATCGCCGGCGACATCACCGCCGACAGGGAGCTTGAGGAGCTGGCAAGAGGAAGGGCACGGGAGCGAGCAGAGCGGTGAGCAGCAGCCCACGTCCACGGCGGCGGCGGCGGCCCAAGGGACCGCGCGCCCGCCGACGGGAACCCAGACGGGCGCAGGCGTGCCGGCGGCAGCCCGGAGCCCGCACGCGGCCCTTGCAGGCAGCACGGCTCTCTCTCCCCTGACCGGCGCCATGGTCACCACGGCGTCCAGACGGTGGTCAGAGACTTTGGTCCCGTCGGTGGCCTACCCTCACCAAAACCAACTACATCGAGTGGGCCGCGATGATGAGGGTGAGGCTCCAGGTGCGGCACATGTGGGAAGCAGTCCGGTACGGTGACGTCGACTACGACGAGGATCGGCGGGCACTAGATGCCCTCATCGCTGCAGTCCCGCCCGAGATGCAGTTCTCGCTTTCCCAAAAGCGGACTGCCAAGGAGGCCTGGGACGCCATCGCTGCGGCACGCATCGGCAGCGACCGCGCCCGCAAGTCCACACTGCAGGCACTCCGCAAGGAGTGGGAGAACCTGGCCTTCAAGCCAGGTGAGGATGTTGATGACTTTGCTCTCCGTCTCAACACTCTCTTGCAGAAAATGGTGCAGTACGGTGACGACACCTACGATGAGGAGAGAGCTGTCGAGAAGCTCTTCCGCTGCGTCCCTGAGAAGTACAGGTAGATCGCTCGCTCGATTGAATCTCTGCTGGACCTCTCCACGATGTCGATCGAGGAGGCGTTAGGTCGCCTCAAGGTCGTCGATGGTGATGAGCCACAGCCTCTCTCGGGGCCCATCACCATCGGCGGGAAGCTCCATCTCACTCGGGAGCAGTGGGAGGCCTCTCAGGGTGACGGGAGGAAGGGGGAGTCATCTTCCCCGACAGGCGGCCGTAAGCCGCGCAAGGCGCGGGGAGGTGTCCAGCTACGGTGGGCGCGAAGACGTGCCGAGGGTGGCGCCCGCAGAGGCGCCCAGGGCGTTGCCACCGGCAACCACAAGCCGGCACGAGACGACGCCTGCCGCAACTGTGGCAAGCTTGGCCATTGGGCCAAAGACTGTCGACAGCCACGACGTGGCCAGGCCCACGTCGCACGGGTGGAGGAAGAGCCGGCTCTGCTCCTGGCTCACGCAAGCATCGAGCTACCTCCAGCGGCACCGGCCGCAGCGGCTTTCCTCCACCTTGATGAGCCGAAGGTACTCGTCTCCCTCTGCAACGGCTCCAGCAACGACAAGGCTGATGGGTGGTACCTCGACACCGGCGCCACCCATCACATGACCGGCCGACGGGAGTTCTTCACCGAGTTCGACTCCAGCGTCCGAGGCTCCGTCAAGTTCGGGGACGCCTCCGGCGTGGAGATCAAGGGTGTTGGCTCCGTCACCTTCACCGCCAAGTCCGGTGAGCACAGGCTGCTCACCGGAGTCTACTACATCCCTGCGTTGAGGAATTCTATCATCAGCGTGGGACAGCTGGATGAGAACGGCTCACGCGTGTTGGTCGAGGACGGACTCATGAGGATTTGGGATCGCCGTCGTCGCCTTCTTGCCAAGGTAACCAGAGGCACTAATCGACTCGACATCCTCAACGTGCAGGTCGCACAACCAGTTTGCCTCGCCGCTCATCGGGACGACGAGGCGTGGCAGTGGCACGAGCGCTTCGGGCACCTCCACTTCGAGGCCCTGAAGCAGCTCAGTGCCAAGGAGATGGTGCGAGGCATGCCGTGTCTTGACCACGTGGAGCAGCTCTGCGACGTCTGCGTGGTGACGAAGCAGCGGCGGCTCCCCTTTCCCCAGCAGACGAGCTTCCGAGCCAAGGAGCGGCTCGAGCTCGTGCACGGGGACTTGTGTGGCCCAGTGACACCAGCCACACCAGGAGGACGACGTTACTTCCTGCTGCTCGTCGACGACCTCTCCCGCTACATGTGGGTGATGGTCCTCGGCAGCAAGGGAGAGGCTGCGGACGCCATCAGGCATGCGCAGGCTGCTGCAAAGGCGGAGTGCGGCCGCAAGCTGCGCGTGCTGCGCACTGACAACGGCGGCGAATTCACAGCGGCTGAATTCGCGTCGTACTGCGCTGATGAGGGCATTCAGCGCCACTACACCACGCCGTACAGCCCGCAGCAGAACGGCGTCGTCGAGCGGCGCAACCAGACGGTTGTGGGGATGGCTCGGGCCCTCCTCAAGCAGAGGGGGATGCCGGCCATCTTCTGGGGGCAGGCGGTGGTGACGGCCGCCTACATCCTCAACCGCTCGCCTACCAAGGCCCTCGATGGCAGGACACCGTACGAGGCTTGGCATGGGCGCAAGCCGGCGGTCTCCCACCTGCGGGTCTTCGGCTGCCTCGCGTTCGCCAAGGAGCTTGGCCACATCGGCAAGCTCGACGACAGGAGCACCCCAGGGGTGTTCATCGGCTACGCGGAGGGCTCGAAGGCCTACCGCATCCTCGACCCGGAGACACAGCGTGTGCGCACTGCGCGCGACGTTGTGTTCGACGAAGGGCGAGGGTGGGTATGGGACAAGGCGGTGGACGATGGTTCGACTCCGACGTACGACGACTTCACCGTCGAGTACGTCCACTTCGAGGGAGCTGGGGGAGTAGGCAGCTCTTCTTCACCTAGCGTGTCTACCCCAGCCCCCGAATCTCCACCGACTCCGACACCAACACACCCTCGGGCCACGACTTCGACTACGACGAGCTCTTCGTCGACACAACCCCAGCCAGTGACTCCACATGCTCCAGCACCAACAGCCACTCCTCCAAGCACGTCTACTCCGACGCCAGCTCGTGTTGAGCGCAGCCCGGTGGAGTTCGCTACTCCGCTCTCCCACGACGGGGAGCGCATCGACGCGTACCACGACGGCGAGCAGCTACGGTACCGTACGATGGAGGATCTTCTCGGCGACCAGCCGGTGCCGGGACTGGTGCCTCGCGACCTAGAGGCGCAGTTGCACCTTGCGTGCGACGACGGTGAGCCTCGGTCTTTTGTAGAGGCCGAGAAACACGCGGCATGGCGTGCCGCGATGCAGTCGGAGATGGACGCGGTTCAGGAGAACCGCACCTGGGAGCTTGCTGACCTCCCTCGTGGTCACCGCGCGATCACCCTTAAGTGGGTGTTCAAGCTGAAGAGGGATGAAGCCGGAGCCATCATCAAGCACAAGGCTCGCTTGGTGGCACGCGGTTTCGTGCAGCAGGAGGGGATCGACTACGACGATGCCTTCGCTCCCGTGGCACGGATGGAGTCTGTGCGACTCCTTGCGCTGGCTGCTCGGGAAGGCTGGGGCGTCCATCACATGGACGTCAAGTCGGCGTTTCTAAACGGCGACTTGAAGGAGGAGGTCTACGTGCACCAGCCGCCGGGATTTGTGATCCCCGGCAAGGAGGGCAAGGTGCTACGCCTGCACAAGGCCCTCTACGGCTTGCGGCAGGCACCGAGGGCGTGGAATGCCAAGTTGGATTCCACGCTCAAGGGGATGGGCTTCGAGCAAAGCCCGCACGAGGCGGCCATCTACCGGCGGGGCAATGGAGGAAATGCCTTGCTAGTGGGTGTCTACGTCGACGACTTGGTGATCACCGGCACCAAGGATGCGGAGGTCGCGGCGTTCAAGGAGGAGATGAAGGCCACCTTCTAGATGAGTGATTTGGGGCCTCTCTCCTTCTACCTGGGGATCGAAGTGCACCAGGACAACTCCGGGATCACGCTTCGACAGACCGCCTACGCCAAGCGCGTCGTTGAGCTGGCTGGGCTCACCGATTGCAACCCAGCTCTCACTCCGATGGAGGAGAGACTGAAGCTGAGCCGCGACAGCACGGCGGAGGAGGTGGATGCTACACAGTACCGACGTCTTGTGGGGAGCCTTCGCTACCTCACCCACACACGGCCGGACTTGGCCTTCTCCGTCGGCTACGTCAGTCGGTTCATGCAGCGACCGACGACGGAGCACCAGCAGGCTGTGAAGAGGATCATCCGCTACGTTGCGGGGACTCTCGACCACGGTCTCTACTACCCGAGGTGTCCTGGCAAGGCACACTTCGTCGGGTACAGCGACAGCGACCACGCCGGCGACATCGACACCAGCAAGAGCACGAGCGGGATTCTCTTCTTCCTCGGCAAGTGCCTCGTTAGCTGGCAGTCGGTCAAGCAGCAGGTGGTGGCCCTGTCCAGCTGCGAGGCCGAGTACATGGCGGCCTCCGCCGCTTCGACCCAGGCGCTCTGGCTTGCTCGACTGCTTAGTGATCTCCTCGGCAGAGACACTAGAACGGTGGAGCTCAGGGTGGATAGCAAGTCCGCTCTGGCCCTGGCAAAGAACCCCGTTTTTCACTAACGGAGCAAGCACATCCGGGTGAGGTACCACTTCATCCGAAGCTACTTGGAGGAAGGGAGCATCAAGGCGAGCTACATCAACACCAAGGACCAGCTTGCGGACTTGCTCACCAAGCCTCTTGGGAGGATCAAGTTCCTCGAGCTCTGCTCCAGGATCGGGATGGCCCAACTTCCCCACAAGACGACGCACAAGACTTAGGGGGAGAATGTTGGATAAGTCTTTGTGGTCCTTGGTCGTGATTCTTCTTTTTGCTTTTGGGTAGTTTCACCTTTTTCAGGACAGCATCTACCCTTTAGCATATTTTTCAGTTGCTAGGACAGCTGCGGTTAGTAGGACTGCAGCAGTTAGCATCTCCTTTATGCCTCCTTTATGCTTTATTCAGTTTGGATGCCCTCTAGGACAGCATCCCATTCAAATTTCGAATTTTAGACTAGGAGGGTGCAGCAATAGGCTAGCAGCCAGCTATGGCTATATATATGTATCCAACCTCCCTCGGGTAGGTATGGCTTTTGTATTTAGTGAATGAAGAAAACCAGAAAATTGCCCCATCTCGAGTGCCATCCTCTTCTCAATGAGAGTAACCATTGAAATTCTAACACCTAAAGAACAAACCATTGCATGTAATTTACCTGCCGGGTCTTTCCCATGCCCATTTCATCACATAGTGCACCTCCTAATTTCTTGAGATGCAATGTCCATAGCCACTTGATACCTTCTTTCTGATAAGTGTGGAGGACATCATACAAAGAGTGCGGAAGACGAAATTGCTTCCCATTTCCGTGACCTGTAGGCTCTAATACAAAACCCTCCTCTGGAATATCATCAGCCTCATAACCTCCTTCATTTTCTCTTTTCTATCATATTTCAACGCCTTCTCAACAATATCTGTCTTCAAGTTCGCCAAATATTTGTTCTCCGTTGCTCTTTTCATTGCTGTTGATGGAGCCAGAATTCTACCATGTGGAATGTAGAAAGATAAAACCAAAGTTAGATAAGGTCTAGCTTTAAGGCATAAGATGTAATAGCATATTAATTTGCGGGCAAATTCAACATCAGTATAAATCCTCAAAAAAAATTCCAAGCTTCCAAAGATTAAAAAAAACAAGGAATGGGGATTATGGAGCCAAATTAAAGATAGTAATATCCAGATGCCCTTATACATTTTCAGCCACTCATTACACATATGAATTTATCCATTGTTCGTGCAGCCACTAAGAAGCACAATTTATTTCTAATGGTGCATCTAAATGTCAATAAACAAATCACATCACACATATAATGTGCAGTGGAACCAGAGGGAAGTGGTTTCCCACAAATAAATACTCAATACAACCTAAAGGGATCAGCATTGGCTATCAATATAAACTGACCCTGATAGGTAGGAAGTGTAAACATGTATTACAACAAAGAAAAAAGATGATCCTTGAATCGACAATATCGCGAGTAGCTTTAGTCTTCCAACAAGGTAAAGTCAAACAAAATGAAGAGTCATTCTTAATTGCACAGGATGTGCATGCATTTTGGGAATGTACATACTGAACAGAAACATCAGAGATAAATTTTCCCTTCTAAATACACCTATTTGACATCAATCATATATCAATAAACAGGACGGATACTTGAAACTTCAAAATTTAATGAAACATTAATGGCATTTAATGAATGTGCTTGGACAGGCTAAGTGTACTGCACATATAGCGGTCAATATATATATAAGGTAGCTAACAGCAAGACTCAGATGATAAAACTAGAAAATCCATGAACTTATAGAAAAGAAAAGGGAAATACAAAAAAGGGCTACAAGACCACCTACCTTTCCTTGAGAGGACTGCCAGCAGATTGTCCCACTGCACTGGAGCGAGATTTCAGATTCAGTCGTGCTCGCTCCGTTACACAGCTCTCTGGAGCATTCTGTTGGGTACCACCAATAACCTCACCCTGCACAGCATTAGCAACCATTGGAACCAACTATGGAACAGTTATCCAGAAAGAGAAAAGAACAAATAGTTTTCAAAAAAGGGGAAAAAATATGAAAGGTTCACCATGGCATTTCATACATATTACATATCAAATGAAGCAAATTAGGAGCACCTTAATAGTGTTATTTCACTTGCATGAAGATCTCTGTTAGAAACTTTTGCAAACATCCGATTAAGTCCACTACAGTAGCTAGCTAATATAGATGGAAAACGTGATAATTCCATTTAGAGTTGGATCAACACGTACAGATGGGATCGGAGCAAAAATAATATATAACCTGCTTGTCTTCATCAACATGGAGAGGAGATGGTTTTGTAGCATCGATTGGGTTCTCTAGCAGTAGCACCTCCATGCACCTACTGGTCTCCCCAGTTTCCAGCTCCCTCCTCGGCCCCCAGGACTTGACAGCACCGTATCTAGTGAGTCCCACCGCCGTCGCCTTCGACGTCGATGGTGCAAAAGAAGGAGAGGGCGACTGGCGGCGCCGCGTGGCGGCGGTTGTCCGTTCGTCCTCGTCGAATCGGGTGTCCATGCCAGAAGAGTTGGCGACGAGCGAACGAACCGCGGGCGCAGCCGCAGGCGCAGCGGCAGCGGCGGAGGCTGCCGGAAAAGGGGGACGTGCGGAAGACTGGGAGGCCACAGGACGATCCGATGGGCGCGCGGAGCTGCAAGAACGAGAATGCTCAGGACCTACACAACATCGCCACCACGGGACCAAAGAATCGCACACGGCCACACCACCAAAGAATCGCGATAGGGGTTAGGGTTTGGGGCAACTTACACGCTAGGGTCTAAGGCGAGGGGGAGCTCGCACGGGATGGACGTGGGCGCCTTCTTCTTCGACATGGCCGCGGTCCGCGCGTTCTCCGTGGTCGAGGAGCTCGTCGGCGCCGGAGACGAGCGCGGCCGCCGCCGCCGCCGCCGATTCTACGGACGGGTAGGCGCGCGTGATCGGGTTCCAGCTGTCTCTTCCGCGGCGCACTGCCCTCTCCCTCTCTCTCTCTCTCTCTCTTCTCTCTCTCTCTCTCTCTCTCTCTCTCTCTCTCCTCTGCTCCCGCCTTCGCAAATGGGGAGGGGGTTCGGGTTCGGGTTGGGGTTTCTGCCGTTCGGACTTCGAAGTCGGTTGGAGGAGGCAATTTAGATTTGCTCTTTGCTCGTCCGTTGGGCTGGGCTGGACCGATTTTGTGTTGGGCTGCTGCCTGAACTGGAGATTTAGGCACGTTCATTTCTGATTGTGCACGCTTCCCAAGTTTTAAAATGACGTGTTTCGTGTAAATTTTTTCTATACGATTTTTTTCTTGACATACTTTTATACTCCCTCCGTTTCAAATTATAGGGTGCCCTCTTTTTAATGAAATTCAAATTTGGTAAAATTTTGACTAATAATCATACTATAATCATATCTATGCATTATGCATGTTATATCGCTAGATTTATGTTTTAAAGTACTTTCATGTGATGTTAGTTTTATATTTGTCGGGAACATAGCATGAAATAAATTAATGATGAAAATATAAATATAGGCCTTATTATTTGAAATGAATGAAGTAATAAACATCGTAAATAGGAACCGGGCTACCTCATGGTTTGAGGGAGTAATAAACAGCGTAACATTCAGCACCACCAGGAAGACAGTAAGGTTTGCGAGATTCCTATCGCGCGCAGACGCGCCGGCTAGCTAAGTCGCGAGCGTTTTCGGCCCATATACTCGCGCGCGGCCCACTAGCTACAACCTCCTTTTTCTTTTTTTCCGCAACGAAGTGCGCAGGACTCGGATTTTTTTTCCTGCGCAGTACTTGAAGAAAAAATCCTATACGTAATTAGTTATCGATAATTATGGTATATTAAGCTAATATTTCTTTTTTTCTCAGCACAAAAGAATTGAAAATCTACAACTTTCATTGTAAATTTTGAAAACTGAAAGTGTCAATTAGGCCTAGAGGGGGGGTGAATAGGCTAATTCAAAAATTCAATTAAAAGCGGAAGCAGTAATTTTCGGATATTTCCGAAATTTTCGGATATATCCGAAAATTTTCGAAGTCAGCACAAACAGCAAAGTAAATCCTAGATCTAGTTGCCTACAACAAGAATATGCTAGCACAAACAGTAACTAGACCTGTAGCGGCTCAAACAAGCAAAGCTAGTGAAGAGGGAGGAAGTAAAGTCACCAAAGATGAAGCTCACGAGGTTGTTCCCGAAGTTCGAATCCTTGAGGGATATACTCTCCGTTGAGGAGCTCACTAAGAGCCGGGTCTTAGCTAACCCTTTCCTCAAGAAGTTGCACTAAGCACTCCTCCTTCCACTAAGGGTATCTCTTCCCTTTCGGAGGTGAGATCCGACCTTCACAAACTTCTCCCGGCCAACCACAAGTAGATCGGTGGCTCGGGAGCGACACCTAACCGCCTAGGAGTCCTCAACCTCCAAGAGTAACAAATGAAGCAAAGAACTCCCGGAGATGATGAAAGTGCTCACAAATCTTCACGAAATCAACAACAAGCACTCCCACAAACTCGAATCCACAACTCTCACACACACACCAAATCCAAATCCAAATCGAACACAGGTGAGAGGGGAAACAAGAAAACAAGGCTCAAAAGTGCTAGAGAGAGAGCAAGCCAAGGGCACAAATGATTGGAATGGAACCAGCAGCCCTCACAAGTGATGGGAGTGGGCTATTTATAGCCACAGTCCATATTCTGCCCGTTATGCACAATAATTGAGATTTTCGGATATTCCGAAAGATTTTCGGACATGTCCGAAAATTCCAGCTCAGCACCAACAGCAAAGTCAACGAAGGATTTTTCGGACATTCCGAAAACTTTTCAGACAAGTCCGAAAATTTCCAGTACCAACAACATCGTTCTGGATGTTCTCGAAAAAGTCCGAAAATAACTTTCGGACAAGTCCGAAAATATACAGAAGCGAAATTGACTCTACTGATGATTTTCGGAAAAAAGTTTCGGACAAGTCCGAAAATATACAGAACCACTTTTGCCTTCGCAGTCTTTTTCGAAAAGTCCGAAAATCACTTTCGGACATATCCGAAAATTTCCAGAAGCGAAAATCTGGTTCTGTGTGTTTTCGGAAAGTCCGAAAATGAGTTTCGGAAAACTCCGAAAAAATCCAGAACATACCAAACTGAGGAGAAACACTTTTTAAAAATAGATTTTGAGCACTTTGATCACTCCTCGTATGTCAATGCATCATCCCTCTTAATAGTGCGGCTTTCCTATTAACTCAAGGAAACGAAAACGTACAAAATACCATTTGCTCATTTGCCACATCACATCACATCAACATATTCGGCGGGATATGCATTACGCTAACTCATTGAGGACATAACAACCTTCACATTTGTTTAAATAAAAATGTTAGTCCTCTCTAATCGCTTGTAATTAATCACCAAAATCATTAGGGGCCTAGATGCACTTTCAAAAACTTTCATCTCAAATTTAAAAAAATTCAACCTGAATTTGAAAACTTTCGACCTAAATTTTAAAAACTTTTAACTCGAATATTCAAATCTTTTGACCGGAATTTCAAAAACTTTCAACTCGAATTTAAAATTTTTAACTTAGATTTGAAAACTTTCAACTCGAATTTAAAACTTTCAACTCAGATTTGAAAACTTTCAACTCAAATTTAAAACTTTCAACTCAGATTTGAAAACTTTCAAGTCAAATTATAAAACTTTCAACTTAAAATTTAAAAACTTTCAACTCAAATTTGAAAACTTACAAATAAAAATTAAAAACTTTCAGTTATATATTTGTAAAGAGGTGTGCGAAAGATTGAAAAAAGATCGAAAAAGAAACGGCGAAAAAGAAAAAGAAAAACACGCCCGGAGGCACCAAAATCGAAAAAAAAAGTGCAAAAAGAAAAAAAAAGATAAGGGAGGCCTGGGGTGGGGCAGCTGACGTGCGCGCCAGCAATTTAGTTGGCGCGTATGCGCGCAGTAGCCACCCCCATAAGTTTAGGGTTTCTCTTAACAAAGTCTTTTACAGTTTGTTCAGATCAGTTAGATGTATTGCATAGTCATTAGTTGTGTAATTGTTCTTTTCCAGAAAGTGGTCTATATATTTGCGTAGCTGTCCTTGGCCCATTTGCACATAGGTCTCGCCTTCTACGAGACCTGGAGCCCTATTGTTTCGCTCATGCCTATATATGTTTATAAGCTAAATTTTGTGGCTTTCTCATCGTAATTTATTTGACAGTGCGCAACCGAGACGGCGAGACCCTCTCCCATTTTTCCCTTTTTCAAAGCCTCCCTCCGTTCCCACCTCCGCATCCCGTGAAGAGTAGCAAAATTACTCGCTGTTTCCAGCGCATGCGCTCCCTCCCACCTCCTATTTTCCGTTTTCCATGTTGGTTGTCCATGTGATTGTTGCAAATCAGCACCTTAGAAGAAAAGGAAAAGGTCAGGATACTTTACCAATCGCTTGGCTTGTTTGGTAACTCGAGGGAAGGGGATTGGTAGTTTACACGAGAAAATTAATGATGAGATTAAGATGAGAATTTGATTTTTAATCCCAATATCTTGTTTGGTAGAGGTGATGGAAATTGATAGGGAGTTTAGTTGGAGATTAGGTCATTAATAAAAACGGATGGCTGAGATTTGCTTAGACAAAGTAAAGGATGAATTCCCTCCCAATTACCTGCCTCTACCCAAGTATTGAAAAGGAGGGAGTTCCTTCCTCAATTCCCCATCCCCATCTCACCAAAATTCCACCAAAATTGTTTCATTCCATTATCTAAAAAATCCCACCAAAATTCACATGTCTCCCAACCAAACAAAACAATTAATAACCTCATCCCTCTAAACTTCCAATCCCTCTTAAAAACTCCCTCCAACCGAACAGGCCGTGAGGGATTTGATCTCAGTGATGGAGCATGCATGTCGCTGGCCCATGATGCCGCACGACAGCAGGGAGGCAGACAACCAGCCGCATGTACGCATGAAGCATGCTCAGCGCTAGCTTGAAGTTTCATCTTCGCATAACACGCATCAGAGGATGATTGTGCCATCTGGACCAATCAGCAGCTGGCAGAACCGCCAGCATTAGAAGTATTGATTGATCGATCGACGATCGATCCGGGAAAAATATCAGCAGCACTGGCTGCAGGCACTGAGTTGTACTTCAGTATATTGGCAGAGGCAGATCAGGGAGAAATTTCAGGATACATTTGGTGATCACTGTTAGGAATTGGATGGGCTGCCAAGGGCGCCCACTTCTACAGCTCTCCCAAACCTCCAAGGAGAAATTACACAGGCAATAGCAGTAGCCCATCCAAAACTATCGAACAGATTCATTTTGACACGCTTCTTTCATACCTTGGGATGAAAAACACCTAGAGGTCTTCCACAAGGTGGTGGGCTAGATGACCTGGATTTAAAACCTCACCCATTCTAATTATTTGATATTAGTTCCTTCCCTAATATTTGTGTTTTTTTTCATATCTTGGGATGGATCAATAAATAAACTCAAAATGCATTATTTCCCGGGTAAATTGTAAAACAACTTTAGCCGGTACCTCAATTAACAGATAAATTAATGATACAACACGCAAAACAGACACAGTCAGTATCAGATCCCCGCAATTGCACTATTTTTAGGTGATAATAATAATAGTTTCTACATGGCAGTCTTGGCAGAGGCACACCAAGACAATTCGATCTAATATCTGTCCTCCAAGAAAACAGAAACTAGCACTACTACTATATATTTACATGCTCGCTACCAAGTCAGTCATTCAAGCTGTTTTGCTGACGCTTCAGATCTTCACCTCCCGAACGTCACTCTGTCCAAAGGGGGTGCCACAACCTGGGCATTTGCGGTGGCGGATCTCAAGGTTCCTCTGGATACATGGCGAGCAGAATAAGTGGAAGCATTTGGTGATCACGACCTGCCAAAAAAAAAAGAAGAAGAAGAAGAAGAAGAAAAAAGAGAGAAAGGAACAGAAATGCCATCAGCGGCGGTAACAGAATTGGCTGTCGCATGTAAGAGTATAACAAAGAAACGTGAATTTGTGATGGGTGTAAATAATAATTAAATCCCAGATATCTACATCTAGGTTCAGAGACAAATCGACATAATCCAGAATAAGTTGATTCAGTGGCCCAATGGCCCATCACCTCTTTCGGCCGGTCGAAGCACACCCCACACTTGAGAATAGCCTTGCATTCTTTTATTTCATCTTGGAGCTTCTGTATAGTAGTCTCTTCAGTTTCTGAGGTTAGCTCACTGACTTCGTTTTTCACCTCTTCGTATTCTTCCTCAAGCTTTATCCTCTCATTTCTGAATTAACCAAAAAAAATGTAATGAACACATGATGGTGATGGCAGCATAGCATGACCAATCCTGGAGTTCAGAGCAGCCTAACCTCTCACGCTCTAGCTCCATTTTTAGCTCAGCTATTTTTTTCTGATTTATCTCATATTCTTTCTCAGCAGATCCAGTAGCGGACCGAAGCCACTTGAGCTCCTTCTCTGCATCTGATACCTCCAGCATAGTCCTTTCAAGGCTAATTGCAAGATGCCTATTCTCTGAAGAAGATTTCATAGCTTGTGCTACATAGGTCTTCATCTGTAACAGTTAATAGTATAAGATGCAAGTAATCCGATACATCTTCAATTTATTTCTTGTAAATCAACACTTGTTTTAACAATATCTCCAAGGGCCTTACGCAGAAAGAACGACTTTAGGCATAAATAAAAGGCTACCTGCTCTTCACCACTGGTGATTTTTAGTTTAGATGACTCCAGTGAACTGTTGACATGCTGAAGTTGCTTCTGTAGCATATTCTTTTCAGCAAGAAGGGAACCATAGGCTTGCTTCATCTTTACACTATCTGATACTAGCTGTTAGATGAGAACCATGTTAGGACAGGAACCAACTTGTGATTGGGGAAAAAAGAGCAGATTAGCTTTGGTTCTAGAATCTAGAACAGTCTATAAATCCCTGCACCTACTAGCCGTGTAAGGTGCTACAGACTACCAGGAACTCTACAAAGGCAAGCAACAAGATTGATGGATATCTAAATACCTTTATGTTAAAATCATCTCTATCAGCAACCTGTTGAAGAAGGTGCTGATTTTGGGTTTGCATGTCTTCATATGCTTGACCAATTGTCTGCAATGACAATATCATATGCTTTTATTTCACACACAAAAAGGACTGCTGATAAGAAGAGAAAACCGCGCCTACCTCAATTTCAGAAATATGGCCATCTACTTCAGCTTCTTTAATTCTTATTGACTCCTTGAGTTTCATAACATCTCTGGCAAAACAGAATGCGTGTGATGAAAAGGATTCAATGCAGGAAACTAATTGAAGATTGTTGAGCTATATCAAATTATAACTACTCATTTCAATATAGTTGTCCACATAGTCTATGCTCACAGAACAAGGGAGACAAAAGATCAAAGTAATGTTTAGGGATCTTTTTTGTTTTGGGAGTTGGTGTGCGCTTGTGTGGTGGGGAAAATGGGGGCTAGAATTGAGAGCTGGTCAACTACAATTTTCATCCAGGACAGTTTAGAGCCCCCAAGCCAGCACATATTATTTTTTACTCCCTTCATCCCAGAAAAAAAGCAACGTTCATAATCTGGACAGAGGCTATGTCCAGATTCGTGTATAGAAGTTCCCCCGGTTTCTAGAGTCTGATTAACCCCTTGTTAAATAGGGTACTTGGTATGGATAGCAGGGTTAGAGAATACAACTACACTATAAATTCCCTCAATGGAGAATTATTTTGAAAAGGCAAGTCCCAATAAACTGGAGAACAATTTTGCACGGAGGGGTTGAGAAAACAAAATTTTCACCAATACTAACCTTTCCGATGCATCCACTTTGGCCCTTAAGTCTTCCAGTTCTGCTTCAGCAATTGAAAGCCTTTGTTGGCATGCAGTTTCCGCTTCATTTGCTGCTTTTACTCGAAGTTCAAGATTATGCTCTTCTAAACATTTTCTCAAATATTCAGCTTGCTTGCGAGCTCGGTTTTCTGATTCTTCAATCTCTGAAATTGCCCTAGTGCACAACAGAGTATGGTAAGAAACAAACTGGAAGGATCTACCATATGTAATATGCATGTCAAATAGATGAAAGCTGAAAATTTCCTAACAAGATATGTTTTTACCTATACTATCTTAGAACCATATCTGTTTTTTTGAACATGCTTAAATATTAAATGAATAGGTCGCATGATTCAGTTGCGTGAGTGTCTGTTTATCCTTTTCTTTTCGTATTCTTTTTGGGTCTGATGTGGTTGTGCATCTAGACCAAGTGTACTGAAATTTCGTTTCCCAATCTTAATGCAATTATACACGAGTCTTTTGTGTATTACTGATAAAGAATTTTTAAGAATAGATGATGAGGGTTCACCACTTTTGAGAACAATACAACCCATAACAATCATAAATCAGCAGAAAAGGTACTAGCAAACAAATTATACCTCGACTCAGAACATTCTTTACCGAGCATATCCACTATAAATTGTAACTCCTGCTTTTCCTGGTCCAGTGTCTCAATCTGTTGAAATTATATGGAGAAAAATGAATGACAGAACTAGAAGCCCTGTTAATTGCATTTTTGTTCCAAAACATCTTTTACCCACAAATGATGCTCAGATTTATGCACACTGTGAATGACAATTAAATTTTCAATTATTTAACAGTAATAGCAGTTAAGGGCCTGTTTGGGAATGCTCGAACTCATGGATTTCTGCAGAATATGGAGTTTGTAGGCTAAAATAAAGTGGCTAATCTAATTTTAGGCTAAAATTTGAACAATAGTTTTAGGACCTAGGATACCCAATTCCAAGAATTATAAGCTCTCATGTATCAGGCTATCCACCAGTTAATAGAGAGGTCTGCCTTCATTTCTGAATGATGAAACCTAAATATCATTATATGTTGGCTGACCATTCGATTGTTGCAAATCAGTGCCCTAGAAGAAAAGGTGAAGATCAGGATACTTTACCAATGCTTTGAGGGATTTGATCTCGGTGACTTGTGTGTTGTATCTATCAGATATCTCCTTTTGTTCATCAATCTGAAAACTCCAGACACTTCAATCAGATGTTTTAATTGTATTAGAGGTTCAGATAGCTATTATCACAAGAAGAACGCAACACATGGAGGCCTAATCAGGTAAAGACTACTGAAAAAACAATGTATTTGAACATTAAACACCAAGTCCACAACTATGCATAAGAGCATCCACACACACACATACCCCCCCCCCCCCCCCAAAAAAAAAAAAACAAAACAAAAAACAAAGTTTTGCCATGAATATTTACAGAATCAATATCATGAAGTAAATGAATTCAAAGGGACCTAAAATCATTTATGCATGACCATGCTAGCACCTGGTGACAAGAAGGTACCCTGGAGCATTAAGTTCATTCTGATTGTGTAAAATGATCATCAACCTTGAAGAGAAAAATGGAACAAGTATGTATGCCAGTTTTAGTGTGAAAAATACTGTTTTGAATATAGCCATGGACAGTTCTGTGGAGACCATCAGAGTGAATATAAATGCACTTGTTCCTTGAATTTAAATGGTGAATTTATGGAAAAATGTCCCATGAGCTGAAACGGGGGAATGCAACATAATGAATCGATGGCAACTGAACAAGTGCATGAAATTGCAAGGAAGAGATATAAATGATGTTTTTAGAAGGTAGAACAAAATTTACAGAAGCCTAAGAAAATTCCAAACCACCGTAATAGATGCAGATTGGAGACCATCACAGAAAACAGAAAGATATGGTTACCCAAATCAAAGAAATACCTTCTTAGCTAGCAAAGTTCTTAAATAGTCAGCTTCCTCACGTAGTGCAAGTGCTTCAGAAGCCGCATCCTTGGATCTATTCATTTGATTGTCCAACAATTCCATCTCTTTGGAGAGTGATGCAGCCATAACATGAATCTCGTCCTTGAAGTCTTTTTTCCCTATACAGTGGAATTAAGAAAAACTTATGTTACGCTCTTCACGAAGAGATGAGCCATCCCCAGCTAGCAAGCTATAAATGTGATCAGGTCCACTCTACCTGAATCTTGCAAGGCTTCCTCAGCCTTGATCTCAAGATCATTCTTTTCAGCCATAAGTTTCTGGATTTCATGTTCCAGGTCCTCAATTTTGGCCTTGTAAGTGGTAATGGATTGTTGAACAGCGTCCACTGATTCTGCCTTTGCAAGCATTTCTTCTTCCTTTTGCATGAGCTGGTCCTTTTCATTCTAACTCGGGGGGGGGGGGGGGGGGGGGGGGCAGGGGTTTGATCAAACAACAATACCATTGTAAAACAGCACAACTGAGGAAAAGCAGCATACCTGTAGCACTTCAACTAACCCCCTGTATCGCTCTATCTCAGCATTCAGATGGTGTAACTGGTCACTGAGAATCGTATATGGTTTTGATGTAACAATATAGTTCTCATCTTTTAATTGATCCTGCACACATAGCAAAGAAGCGCAAATTAAAAAGAAATAAGAAAGCGAACTCAAATCAGAAAAATTAAAAAGGTATGAACCTGAATATCTTCCAACTGCTTGGATAGTATCAGATTATCCTCTTGAGTCTCATGGAGTTCAAATAGGCGGTTTGCAGCAAGAGTCTGATCTCCATAGGAGAAATTAGCAGGAAAAGAAAGAAAAAAAAACAACAATAAGATAAGAAGTGAGAAAATAACACTCTTCAGCCTTCAAAGCATCCATGAAAACTTGAAAAGAAAATAATAATAATAATAATGTCTTATCACAGTACCTTAGCCTCCTCAACAGCATCTTTCAGATCTCGCCAGCCCATACCCTTGTCTGAAGATTTATCAGTTGAAACACTACCGTTCACACCGTTAGGAGCAGATGTGTTCATCAGTGAGCCTCCACCCGTTTGCAACTGGAGAACAGCCAACTTTCGACGGCTTTCCTCAAGCTCTGCCATGCTTTCCTCTAGCTCACCTAAAATACAACATATGAATGTGCATTACAGGTTGTTTTGGTGTGCAAGAGTAATCCAATCCAAAATGCAAAGTCAGGGTATGTGCCAAAATACAATTTTATGCAATCAAGCTATTTTAAAAAATGGTGTTTTTAAATTTAGTAGAACTGATTTACATTTAGTACATGAGACAACAGCCAAAAACTGTGAATAGATCAACATAAATGCAATGCAGCAAAATTTTAAACAAACCAACACAAATGGGGGAAGAAGTGGCATTCTTTAACACCTGAAAGACACTTTACTTCATGTAGTTCTCTTGATTGATTGTTTTTGAAAGCCTCAATCTCATCCAGATACTTTTCGTGCTTCCTGTTGATGATAGACACAGCTTGACGTAAATTGTCAACCACTTCTTTCAAGTAATCATTATGGTTTTCAAGGGCCACAATAACGTCTGAAGGAAATAAATTTATTTGATTAAATAATAGAGTTGCAATGTTAGACCAAAAAAAAAAAAGAAGGGCACAAATATTGCTTTCATCTTTACCTTCACTGGAGTTCTGTCCATTTAAAGCTAATGATAAAGATTCACTTCTAGCCTGCTGTACAGCAAAAGCCTCTTGCAGGGACTTCATCAGAGTAACTGTTGTTGAATAGCGCAAGGCAAGAGCTTCCTCAACTAATTTTGACAGGCTACTGTCATCATTATTTCTGAAATTCCTGGAATTCAAGAGTCTGAAGAGAAATATCTCCTCAGAAGGACATGACTCAAGAGATTCTGCGGAATAGAGAAAGAATAGTCAATGACAGTACTGAAAGAAAAACAAACCTCAGAGAGCAAAGTAAAACAAGTAGCCAAGTAGCCAACCTTCTGACATCTCTTCATGATCAAGCGCTTGCAAACCGTTTAAATCCCCACCAGCTCGAACCCCAAGCAGCACTAAATCATCAATCAGCTATAATTCACAGAAGTGCATCAGAAACATATTGAACTGGAAAAAAAAATGCATCGAATAGAATTTACATCAGTATGAAAGACAGATGAATGAACCTGATTCCACATTTTATTCAAACAAATCAATGTATTGTCGTAAGAACATTGCTCATCCCTCAGCTCCTTGAACTTGCCTTCCAATGCACGCATTTTGGACTTCTGTGCCTCCAATTGCTGCACCAGCTTCTGGTTCTCATACTGAAGAGCTGCGGCATCCATCTGTTATTCTACTTGGATGTTATATGATGATGAATGATATCTTGCAATTAACTTACTACATAGTAAACTCCACAAGAAAAACGAAAACAACATAACAAGGTGTGGCAGACTTCTGCCTCCTCCCATAACACACATAGCCAACAGATGATGTCAGGCAGTAGTACTTGGGACATTTTGGGTGAACAAACAAACTGTTATTGCTTGAATTAAGATGTTTAAGGCTATCAAATTGAGGAGGAGATCTAGAAGAGAAGCTAGTAGGGTTCACGAACGCAAGCAAGTTCCAGCCAGGTCCCGGTGGGGTGGGAGAGAGAGATGAATCAGAAAGAGGACGCACCAGGATCCCCTCCCCTCCGCTGCTCGCCGGATGGAGATCGCCGCCCGGCCCTCCCCTGCTCGTCTTGGCGGCGGCGCAACGAGCGGAGCGGAGGAGACGACGAGAACGAGACGGGAGATTTTTCTTTTTCTTTTACGCGACTCAAGGTGGAAGACGAGTGCGCCACAGATAGGTGGGCCGCTTTGTAGGGAGCGAGAGATGGGCCTTTTGGCCACTTTTCCATGGGCCTGAAAAATAGTGCTCCTACTACAGCCCACCTGATCTGGCCCGTAGGCGAACGATGAAGGTGACATCACTCGTGGACGGCGGCATAGCAACCTGGAGGCTGGGGGTCGAAGTTTAATTCTCCGACCCCATGTTTTCTCGATTTTTTGTTTTTGTTACGCTGTCTGGATCGACAGAAAAAAAAATGTTGTTATAAAGATTCTTATTTAGACATTTTTGTTTCTGTTACAATGCCTGGATCGACAGGAAAAAAACATGTTGTTATAAAGATTCTTATTTAGACAATTTTATTTTGCTGTGACCCATTGATTGCAGATCGTGAGGTGCAAAAAATGAGTTTTGGGCCTCAAAACCTGTCGACAGCCCAATAGCTAGTTCCTATTTGAAAGGGAAAAAAATTACTTTGACTCCCTCAACTATAGCCCGAGTATAATTCATATCCTCCAACCACAAAACTGGGTATATCGACTTCTCCGACTATTAAAATAGGTGCAAACAATATCCCTCGGTGTTTTTGGAGGTGGTTTTGGCTGACGTGGCGCCTACGTAGGCTAAACATAGACTAATTTAGAGTATTAGCCACGTAGGCGTCACGTTAGCCAAAACCACCGAGGGACCTCATCTGCACTGGTTTTGAGAGTTGAGGAACCTATTGTATCTAGTTTTCCGGTTGAAGGACGAAAATCGGATTCGTAGATAAGTTAAGGGACCTCAGATGAACTTATTCCTATTTATTTCGCTCTCAGCTAAAAGCTTACTGGGCCATAAAAGTAGTACTAGTCAGCAGCCCAGCACAACTCTAACAGTAACAGTACCGAGGTTGACGGCGGAGGGCCAGCCTACGTGAACGACGAAGGTCTCATCAGAACATTTCTCGTGTAGCATCTGTGTTACTACTTCTACTCCATGGATGGGATAATAGGAGATTGGGATCAAAAGTTATTTGCATGTAGGAAAGTTCGGAGTTTAATTCTCCGATCCCCTAATTTCTATCTTTTCTCACTTTTCTTCAAAGAGACAAGAAGGTAACCAAAATGCAGAGCATTTCTAATTGTTTTTTTTACGACACCATATTATCCTGATGATGCAATTTGACCAAGTATGATGCATTTGTGTTGTTTGCACAAATTTACCGATCACATTCAGATTCAGATTTCAGACCACATGCTAACAGAACAAGACACACCCTTCTTCGGAAAATTATATAAATCTGGTTCGCAGGGATCAAAATACATATCTATGAATTCAGATTGGACCGTGTTTCGCCATCTCGAAACGATAACATTCTTATAACCAACAAATTACAAGGGGAATCAGAATATTTCAGTTACGACTTGAATTGCCAGTAAAGCAATGGTGAATAGCAGTGCCTAGCGTCACTAATAAAGATTTTGTCCTTGCATCTGATTTGCTTCAAGTCCACTCCCTTTCATGAAAAAAACAGCCGCTGCCTTGCCCTCAAAATTGTGCTTGTGCAAGCTAGCTAGCTACCTACCTTTGTTGATTCTGGTGTTTGTGCACTACTTTGCATGAGTGTATCACCACAAAGATCAAGACTCCTGAAAACATACTAGTGGTAACTGATAACTCCACAATAAAAAAAGAATGAGAATTATTCTGATGAAAGGTTGAGCTCAACTTTGGTGAGCACTCCTGGTGGCTTTAGATCTCGGATTTCTCATTCATTCACCCATGATGCATATATATGTCAAAGTCTCACTTTGATTCCCCAACACCCATGGTTTCCTCCCCTTTAATGCTTTATAAACCTCAATTTTGTTTGTGGGCCGGCCTCTAGCTAGATCTTGATCCCTCCTCCCTCCCTTGTGACTTTGTGAGGCTCACATTCAGAGATATGAACATGTAGTCACTCAGTGCTGGTATTAAGGCCCTCCAAACACCTGTCACCATAATCATCATTCATCAAGGCCATCATCTACTAAGAGTACTACCAATGCTTTTATTTAGTGATGATGCATTTCACCTCTTGATGGCCATCCTCCATCGACAAGGAGTACAGTTTGCTAACCTTTGATCTTTGACATGCATTGAGCATTGTGTCCAGTGTGATGATCAATAATTGTTGAGCAGGCAGGCTAGCTAGTTTGAAAGATAATTGCAAATGAATCATGCAAACAACTGTTGGAACAACAGTAGTGTGTGTGCGCGCTTGATGAGCATGACAGCCAATATTATTTGATCAGATGCACGTACGAGTGCGATCTACACAGGAGAGAGAACGTTCCACAACTGCTAATGTTTGACTATGCTTGGATGGAACAGTACACTTGCTGTTCTTCATTGACAGCAACAAAATTTGAATTTGATGATTTCACATTTGAGTTGATTTTGATTTCTTTTATATAGTTTTATCTTGCAGTGTTGGTTTTCAAGTCGCTAAAAACACACACACAAAAGTTCTACTCACAAATATGTTTTGTCGTTAATAAGCATTACGGCTTATAATTAGCTATAGTACAGTAAAAATCAGAATCCTCTGTGTGTGCTTTTCGTGTAAGTAATATATCTGCCAAGACTTGTAGTAACAGATGACCTAAAAAGGGGGCTAATTTCTTACAGTTCACCATCCATTTATTGTATACTCCAATTTGATTGTGATGTTGCCAAGATGCTTGGGAATTAGTGGTGCCAGTTGTTGTCATCCTTGTGGTTGTGAGGTCTGGATTCTGGGACAGATAATCTTTCACGCAACTGCTGAATCTAATTAGTGGCCTGCCTGCCTGTGATGGTAGCTTGTGGAAGGAACAGTGCTAGTACTAGCAGCATTTTCTTGAAAGCACATGCATGCATGTCCATTTTATAATCCTAAGGCGAAAGCCTTATTTGTCGCTCAAGAACAGTTTATGGTTGCTTCTTAAATTTCTGGAGATCGGTGACATCTCAACCCTTTTCTGATGCTTCACGAGAGCCTGTTCTGCGTCTGTCAGCTGGCTGCTTTGCTTGCGGTTGGATTGGCTATCACCTGGTCACATTTTTGCTGTACTCCCGCTCAACCTTGAATTCAGATTAATTGTATTAGGAAACGTCCCATTCAATACTAAATTGATTTTTCATGGGACGGAGGTAGTAGCTGCTATCTTTGATTTCTCATTTTGTTCCCCTTCTCCTGTAAAGTATGAGTAGTAGTAAAACCAAATAAGCATTCTATTGACAAACATATGGGGTGGTTATAAATCTAAACCCCCCCCCCCTTTTTTTGCCGAATGGATGAATGGCTGAAAAATTTGTGATAATTGTTCAAAGTTACAAATGGAGTTAAAACAATATTCTAAGGAATTCATATACACAACTTTTTTTTAATAAAAAACACCGTTCAGAAGTTCAGTGACGGTGAGCTTGCGCATTAATCCATCGTTCCATTCCTTAGAAATTGAAATGCTGGAATAAGCTGTGGCACCTGCTGGATCCGAACCGAGTGCTCTTGCTTGAAGTGGACCTGTCCTAACATATGGGAGTATATTTCTTGTAAAAGCAGGATCATAAATTAGATCCTTGTACTGAAAGTTGTATTGTCATGAAAGAAACTACTCTTAAAAACGAATTTTGGTGTCACTTCAGAAAAAGAAGGAAGGAAGATTTCAAGCGGAAGGAGAGGAAGGGAAGATGCAACCAGATTTGTGGTGAGAAACTGGGAATTAATCAATGAATCATTTTGCCTTAAAGCGAAGCTTTGTGGCGCGCCGTGCTAGCTCCGAGGTCTGAAAAGGAAACGCGACTGCGACATCGGGCTCATGAATTTTATCTTTCTTTTTTGCCCTCGTTTCGTTCAGTTCTTGTTGCTGCGAATGAGAGATAATGGGCGATGATGACTCGGTGTAGGACGGTGAGCAGTGATCACCAATTTCCAGAGATTCAGAGAGATATCAATTCAGAGCTTCAGATCTCGTCGGCAGCTCTGCGTCACCAGCAGTACACTCTTTCTTTCATTTCAATGTACTAGTGTTGCTTTGGTGCATGCGGAGAGCGTTTGGTTCAATGCTTTAACTTATCACAATACACATTGGAGTATCACTAATTCTTAACCTTGTGTTAGATTGATTGTTATAGTTGTGATTACGATACTTTCTTAGTACCTTGTCCCACATGTCATATACACGATCATTTGCCTAGCTTTTTAGCTACAAGTATAGCTTACAATATGTAAACTACAATGTCTGAAGTGAATTGTGGCAATGATAGTTAAGAACCAAATCTCTGCGTAGTACTGTACTAGCATCGCATAGATGCGGTGTGGTTGTTCAATCTTTGGACGGGAAGATGCATGGAATCGATATCAGCGTCGATGGTGGCGAGCACTGTGGCTGTTCAATCTTCGCATAGATGCATCGATCGGTAGAGTGGATGGGTGAGTCATAGTCATACTCGTAGGTTGTATATAGAGAGCAGGTAGTAGGAGGAGTAGCGTAAATTCTGGCGCAGCAGCGAGCTGAGCTGAGCCGCCCCACCTCAAATGGTCGTTATAGTTGCAATCGACCAGCAGCAGCTAGCAGCATCGGATCAGATATTCAGATCACGAGCACTATAAACCTCACGCACTCACCCACGCAGTGCTCTTCTTTTTACCCATATAGTATATATTTTTCTTGTTATTATTGCACTACTAGTAACAAAACACGCATTTCTTCTTTCATGTTACTGCATCCATCGTCGTTTGATCCGCCAAACCTCTAAAGATCAGGTGGTATCGTAACGTTTGGACCAGGTGGCATAGGAGTTTTTTACCCAGGAGCATGGGTGGCGATCTAGTCTACGGATTGATAGCCACTAGTTTCTGTGTTTTGTGATGAGGAAGTGTTCTTAGGTCCAGTTTTTTGGCTGTGTGCATTCTATGTAGAGGCCGGGGGTGGACTCAGTTGGAATGTATTATCTTGATGTATTTAACTAAGTCTTAATAAAGCTTTCATTATTT